CAAATTATTAATTATTTCAATTCTTTCCATACGAGTTCTTGTATGTACTAATAATTCTAAAAGTACTATGCCTAAACTATATATATCACTCTGAAAAAATAAGAATTATTCGAAAATATTTTTTAAAATTCATATTTTATTCAAACAAGAAATACCTTAGGATCACATTTTCCTTGTAATTGTTCTGGTGCAGCATACATATGTGTTCCAAGTATTGAATGATGGTTTTCTTTTTGTAATGGACAAGCTAATCCAAAATCTCCTAACTGTATTTGTAATTGTCCTGACGTTGAAATAAATATATTACTTGGCTAAAATAAAATAAAAAATTTTATATATTATTAAAAAGAAAATAAATATTTATGTCACAATTATAATATTATATAACAATTAATATTAATAACAAATTAAAAAGTAAAAATTTATACATATTAGATAATAAAATAAAAATACTTTAAATATTTTATTAAGTTCTATTTTTATTTCTTTTTATTTTACCTTTATATCATGATGCACAATTCGACGAGAATGTATGTAATCTAATCCATAAATAATTTGTGTTAATATAGCAATAATTATTGCTTGTGGAGATGTTTCTATCCTTTCATCAAGCCATTGCTGAAGTGTTTTTTCACAAAGAGCCATTTGAATATATAATGTTGTATATTTTTTATTCTGTAAATATATAATAAATATATGATTTTATGTATTTTTCAAGTAAAATCAAAATAAAAAATTAATTATAATGAACAATAATAATATATACCATTTGGGACATATATGGTAAAAGTATTTTATTTTTACTGCATTCTTCATTTGAATTACTGCCATCACTATAACTTATATTATTTTCTATTTTATTATTTTGGTGTTCACTATCACTTCTAAAAGATATACTATTTGAATTAGTTTTCTCTATATTTTTATTAATATTTTCTTCTATGACAAGTACTTGTTTTTCTATAATAGATAATATAACAAATAATGCATTTAATATTATCTACACGAATAATATATGCTAATTGAGTTATATTAATACATACCACATTTGTAATTTTTTTGTTTATTATATTGCATTGATGTATAATGTTCATCATTTTCTTTTAGATTTTGACTCTCAGTATCAGAACTCTGTGGACTTTGTGACTTAAAATATCGATTTATACATGATTTATATCCAATTTTTCGTTTATCTTCTATAGAACTTAATTTGTTTTGAGAATAATTTGGGGATACTAAACATGGTATAGAAGTTGAAGCTAATGGAGGTTCAATCCATGCCCCTTTATATGAAACTATATTAGTATGATTTAATTTAGCAAGAGTTTTCACTTCTTCAAGATGTTGCATTATATTTTTAACTCTATTAGAATGTACTATTATCTTTTTAATGGCATATTCTACACCATCAAGGCGATTTAAAGCTTTAAAAACATTACCAAATCCTCCAGATGCAATAAAACTTATTTCTTGAAATTCTTTATGATAACGAGACCATTCTGTCATTAATGGTCTGTACAAAATAAATACATAAAAGTTGAATATAATATTATTTTCTTATAAATTAAATTATATATAAATAAATGCAATTTAAATCAAATTTTACCTTGGAATTTGTAGTGCATTTTCACAACCAATTGTTGCTCGTGCAACTGTAAATAAATGATACAATGCTTGTTGATATTGACCTCTTAATGGTTCCAATTCAATCATATTGTAAGAACTATCAATTATTTTTAATTTATGAAGTCTATCACAAATAGCTAAAAATAAATATAAAAAAAAATTATTTTATTATTTTATTATTATTTTATATTATAAAACTAATTAGAATATTACAAAATTAAAAAATTTATAAACATATTTTGATTTTTTGATATTTTGATATTGTTATTTTTGTTTTATAAATCGTTAATATTGTTTATTGTAATGTATATTATTTAACAATAAATGTTTATTATATATATCTTTCTTAAAACCTTAATTACATTACCAAAATACAATTTATTCCTGCGTTCTGAATCATCTTCAAATAACATACATGATTGCTGTATAAGTGATTCAATTAAAAGACTTGTAGAAGTTGTAACTATGCTTACAATTTGTCCATTATTCTTATTTTCATTATCTACACATACTGTAGATTTTGCATCATTACCTAATAATAAAACCATTATAATTTAATTACAAAAATTTAACTACAAAAAATGTATAAGATCATATAAAAAATATTATATGATTATATTAAAATTATTAAAAGTTACATATTTAAAATTATTTAATATGGATATCTATTATTCAAAATTTTTTGTTTCTTTTGATTCTTTTTAATAAAAATAACTAAATTATTATTTTAGAAAATAATTAATATAAATAATATAAATAATAATTACTATATAAATATAATATATATGAACTTTTATATACTATAATTCTATTTCAAAGATGTTTTAAAAATTGCGCGGTATCTTAAGGTTATGTTACCCTTATCAAATGTAGTTACAGTAGATAATGTATCCCAAGGGTTAATTAACGATGAATTATTATTTTCCATCTTTAAATTTCTTACATTTCTATAGTGGCACTTTTATTATTGTAAATCTGAACATAGATTTATAAATTGTAATATCCGTAATGTCCGTCTTATATTATATTTGTTCAATAAAATCAGAGAATATAAAACAATAGATCATATGTTTAAATTAATATTATTTATATGTATATATATATATATATATATATATATATATATAATTTCGAAATATAATAGCATTTGAATTAATAAATTTCAAATTATTTATATTTTGTAAATGTCATTAATATCTTTTTCAAATAATTAATATATAATAAAATAATAAATAATAATATTGTATTGAATATAATAATCTTATAAATAAAAAAATTAATTTTTAAATTAAAAAAAAAATTTTTTTATCTAGAAAATAATTCTGTAATAATTCGTGTTTATGTAATTTATTATGATACATATATTATTACAATAGAAATTTTATAAAATTGCGAGAGCTCAAAACTATAGTAATTTCTAGTAATTTAATTTATTGCGCTGAAAGCAGAAATTATAGTGAAAACTGTATACTGTGTAACTATTTAAAATACTAGTTAAAATATTTGTATAAAAGTGATATTTGAACTATTTATTAAAAACAATATGAATTCAATTAATTATAGATATTTTATAATAATTTATAATAATGTTATAAATAAACAATATTGCTATAAGACAAGAAGTAAATATAGATAAGTATTTTATTTAGTTTTTAATAGAAAATAAATTCTTTTATAAATTTTTATATTTAATTATTTCAAAAATCTAATAAAAATAAACAAAAATATAAAATATATATAATAAATTCTATAAATATAAAAAAATGTATTATCACTTTCATAATTTAATTTACATTTTTTTTCTAAAATTTATTTTATAATATTATATTTATTAATATAATATTAATTATTAGTTAATAAGTTAAGTTTATTGATTGTTATATTAATTCATAAACGATATATAACGATGTAAAATTTATCATTTAAATAATATAAAATTATCATCAAATTTTAATGTAATTAATTTGTACATATAATAATATATATTATTGATATGTTACATAATTAGAGATATGAGAGATATGAAAATTTATAAAAGTAATTTTTATTAATTAATATAATCAATTCGTAATATATTAATTTTATTATTATAATATTATTATTATAAAATCAATATATATATATATATATATATATATATATATATATATATGTACGTAACTTTTGAATTATGTAATATTGAAAAAAGATAAATACGGAAGAGAAAGCTAAACAATGTCATGTTGGTATTCATACGACCTTGAAATATAATATACCTTGTAGTGCAGTTGGTGGCATACATGTTACACGTGGTATGAAGTTATTGACCTTAGAAATGCTTTCCACTTTCTACTTAATATGTTCACGCTGATTTGACCTTCTTTGATATTTCATCCCTTTCTTTACACATACTTATATACGGCATAAAATATTTTACATATGTAAAATAATTATATTATTAAATAATAATTATATAATTAAATATATATATATATATAATATTGAATAATTAATTATTTAAAAAATAAAATGAATACAAAATAAATTAATTTTCATAAACAATTTTATATTATAGTGAAATAAACAAAATATTTTAATTAAACATTTAATGTATATTTGATATATATTTTTATTTCGGTGGATTATAAAAATTGATTTTCTTTTTGTGATAATTATTTACAAATATAATGACGTATAATGTTCATAAAGATTCTAGATTGAAAAAATAGTAATATTAATCATAAATAATAATTCTATAAATATTTAAATGCGTCTGTATAAGCAATAAATATTTAAAAATTAATCAATTGAATTAAATATAATATTTTATATTAAATAAATATATTAAATATTTTATAAAATAAATAAATTATATTAAATATAATAATCAATAAAAAAATCTAATTTTTTTTGCAATTATTTTTTAAATTAAATTAAATTAAATTCATTTTTTAAATTAATTAAATTAAAATTGTTTAGCTATTAAAAAAATTAAATATATATAAATAAAATAATAAATAAAATATACATAATAATAGATAATACATAGAAAATATAAAAAAACTTAGTTAGGGATAATAATATGCTGATGAAGTATAATATTTTATTGTTATTGATTAAACAAAGCAAATATTAATATTCAATCAATATCATATCATCAATAATCATTTTCAGTTCATAATGAATAATATTAAAACTTTTAATAATATTAAAAGTTTTTCATTTATCATAATTTTTCAAATCGTAAGTTTGTTGGAAGAATACAATTGATTAATAAAAAATTACAAACATTGATAAAAATGAATTAGATTATTTTTTCTTTGTTATTTTGATTTTACACAATCATGAGTTATTTCTAAGGTCGCTACTGGCATAGCTTAAAACAAGTCGCGTTAAGATTGGTCAAGGTACGACATCGCTCTAGAGTTGATTACTACCTCGACCCTAACCCCACTACTCTCTTCTCCCCGCTTTCGAGTTTCGTAGCTGGTCCATACCCCTACCACCTATCATTCGACCTCTTCTACCTTCGATGCTCGGAACCCTTGTCGATCTCGCCACGACCCCGACACTGCGTGTGTTTTGAGCCACGTAAGTCGTGTTGACCCACGTGTCTTTACAGGACTGTATTTGTATAAATAGCAATAAATTGTATAAATAATTTGTATAAATAATAATTATATTTTTATAAATTTTTATTGATTCTATATCAAATAATTATTCATTAAATATGCATATATATTTATTGATAATCTGTTTAATATTTGTATATAATTATATATATTATATATTATATATAATTATATTATATATATTATATATTATTGTTAATTGTTGTCAAAAATAAAATATATTAAACTTAAATATATTAATGAAGCAAAATTTCAATAGTATTATCTTATCTAATTAAATATTTGAAAGGAAGAAAAATACATTATATTAATAAAAAAAAAAATGTAATATATACTATTATATAGTATATAATAATTAACATTTTAAATAGTAATCTTATCTACATTCACGACAACGTCAACATATTTTATCCTTCGAATGAGCTTTAAAATTATCATTGATTAACATATTATGTAATATTTTAACGTATCTATTGTTATCTTTGTTTGTAATAGAAATATGAATGCGCAATAATGATTGCAAAATGTTAATTTTGAATTTATATGAATTTGATATTTATTATATTAATTACAATTATATTTTTTCTTTTCTTTTCGAAAATATGTTTTAAAAATATTTTTTACAATACAATATCTACAGAAATTATCAACGATAAAATTAATCTAATACCAATTATGATAAAAAATGAAATACTTCATATTGAAAATGTTTGAATGGCTTGTCAAGATTGAAAAAATATTATTTTCCTGAATTTAGAAATAATAAATATTTTTCAAGTGTTGAATTTCAAAGATATAATAATATAATACGATAAAATCAAATTTGAAAGTATACTATCCAATATCTGAACATATATCGATTGTTGTCAGAACATGATTACAAATATTTTCAGAAATTAAGATACAATTGTACATTAAGATACAATTCAATATATATATATGTATAAAACTAAAAAAAAACTCAAAAGCTAAATAAATCAATATACATATATAATTGTATATTGATATTTCTACGTAAATAAAAATTGCATATAAAAATAATAAAATAAACAATAAATTATAATATTATTATAATTATATATATAATTATTATATATATATATATTATTATATTATTTCTAACTAAAAATTTCAATTTTATTTTATTTTGAATTTTATTAAGAAAATTATGATTTTTTTCAAAATCAGTTTAAGAAATTTTTTAAAATGTTTTTTAATTTCAATAATTATTTATCAATTTCAATAATTATTTATCATAGAATTAATATAAAATTAATAAAGAAAAAGTTAAAATATTTAAAAAAATTTTGTTAAGTTCCAACATCGTTAGATGCGACAGTCAATGTCGTTGCTACCGTCACTGCTATCACGTATACATTACTACAGACTCAAAAGCACCACTACATAAGAAGAAAAGAATATAGCACAGCCGTCGTTCTTACTGCCGCACGCGGCGTCCAATGCCCTGTCCAGAGGCAGTCGTCGTGGTTTCCACTCGGCACACGTGCACCGCGCGCAGTGGGTCATTGCTCTCCTCTGTTGGAAAGTAATATCGTTACAGCGCACAACACTTGTCCGAGGCATGATCATCACGAAATCGAATAAAATTGTCCAGAATTAATTACTTAATATGTACTACTAGATATAAAAAATAATATTATTTTTTAATATTTTTATATTATTAATTACTATAAACTTCTTTTGTCATTTTTTTGAAAAAAACACAAACATAATATATTGTATATGTATAGTTATAATAATAAAGAAATAAAATAATAATATAAAATTACTTTTGAAACAATAAAAGCAATGATAATCAAACAAGGATATTTAGACTGATGAAAACTACAAGAGAGAAAGAGAAAGTATGTATGATCATGAATTCACTAATACATTTGTATCACTAATACAATTGGATTCCACACAACTTTAGATGACGACCGTAATTCATATATATAACGTGCATACATTCATGTAAGTTGTTTTTTTCTCATCATTAATAATCATTTTTTTTCAATATATCAATATTTTTATATTCACAGAATTTTTTTTACTTTTATTAAAATATTCGGTTCCTTATATTTTTAAAAATGTATCTGTATAAACATTGAAAATTAAAGATTTTTTTTTCTTTTACTGTGTTTATCATATTATGTTAATATTTAATTTTTATAACATAGTATTTCAAATTAACATTAACATTTTAATACATATGTATATTAATACATATATACATTAAAATGAAAGGAAGATATTATGCTATTTTTTACTACTATTTACTTTTTACATAATTTTTGTATTTTCGATGTAAATTTGTTATAATTATAAAAAATTAAATTTTTATTTAAATATTACTATACATATGTATATATATATATATATATATATATATATTTACATCAAATTTAAGTTAATTCATAAAATAATTTGACGTAAATACTAAAAAAAATAAAAATTCAGAATTAGTTCATATTTTGATTATTCGACTATATATGATAACGAATTCATGATTAATTTATCATAACGTGCTGTGGCGTCACGTACGCGTGTGTATAGGATACGGACGCGTCCCTATAGACCGGAGATATCTACATCTCCGTCTGTCGGCGCTCTTTGTCGTGCTTATACCACGGGTCGGCTGAAACCACGACGACTGCCTCCACGTGCTGCGAAAAGCACTTACTCGCCCTAAATTGTAGGTCGCCGCCGTTGTGACGATGGTGGGGATAGCCGGAATGGAGGGGCAGAACCGAGCACGGTACTTCGGTCATGATCGATGATTTCCGTCGCCGTTCGGTACAGCCAGGCGGTAAACATTACACAGTACGATTGGCCGTGTCCTAAGGGTCCTTTGGTTTGGTTTTCGACTTTGAGTTTTTCGACGGCATTCAGTTGTGAGAAGTGATAAACGAACGCGACATGCGTTAAAGAGATCGTGCATACTCATTTCAATTCGTTCGGTTTAATCTTTTAAATTATTTCGTTAATTCATTTTTCAAAGGATGTTGAGTCGGAATATGGGATTTTTGGACTGTGGAAAGGTTTAACAAAAACCTCACAGGTGGGAGATTTTGACATTTCTGTATTATACATTATACGAGAATGAATGAATTTAAAATCAAAATTTTTAATTTTGAAATATGAATATTGAAAATGATATATAAATTGATGTTTTTCGCTTTCTTTTTCTTCAATTAACTGAATTAATCATATAGTAATTTCATATAAATTATAAAATCAGTGGATTTTCTTAATAATTTTAATGTTTATTAATTTTAATATCCGATTTATATAAAATCCCATTGTATAAATGTGTAGAACGATTGAATTTATATCAATAAATTGCAATTAAAATTTAATACAAAATTTAATACAAAACTTTTTTAAAACATTTTCAAATAAATATTTAAAAGAAGAAAAAAAAAGTAAAAAATTGCTGATATTGAAATCGATAGTTTTCTCCTTGGCCGCGAACTTTGATCGCGCTAGTAGCGTCGTTTTTCGGGATCAATCACATTTTCCATATCCTGGAAATAAAATTAAGAAAGAAAAGATAAAGTTTGAGGATATTTATGTAAAAAAGAGAAACAAATATACACAATAGATTTGTTTAGAAGAGACGATATGTAGTCACGGTCCGTGATGTAACTCAACGTCCTTACTGCGCGACGAGTTGCACGAGGTCGGTGATCGCTATAAAAAAATGCGGCGAGTACACGTGGAGGCAGCGGCAGGCGGTTTCTACCGCGACGCGGCGCGGTATTGCACCACCGCTGACCACGACGACTGCCTCATCGAGAGGCGCGCGTGCAGGTTTAACCTAGCCTTAACCTATTCTGAACCGACGACCTCGTATAAATGTGCGAACAATGTCGGATTTCTTTAATATGTTTTCTATTAGGTTAGAAATTTAAATTTAAATTTACATAAAGAATATTTCAAATTAATTTCATTGAAAATATTAATATGCGAATTTATTAAATTCAATTATATATTTGCTATTGAGATATGTTTGTTTTTATGTTGATATTTCTATAATGGTGGTAATTAAAAATTATAATACACGAAAAAATATACTATATGAATATATTATGTATATATATGAAATATATTATGTATTTATTATATAATATTATATAGTAAAAATATTTTCAGATGTAAAAGTAATCATTATTTGTATACATATTTTTAATAAATAAAAATATTTTTAGTTTTTATAATATGGCAGATTAGATATTCAGTTATTAATTTTTAATTTAAGATAATATGCATAGTAAAATTTTGTTCAATGTTATCTTTATACTTTTAACTGGAATATTTAAATAAAATTTCTAATTTGAATATGTTTAGCAATTATAATAAGATTTCAGAAAATTGTAAAAAAAATAATAATAAGTAATAATGATTAATAAATTTTTTTGTTATGCTTGTAAATAAACTTTATTAATTTTTTATTATATAAATAAAAGACAAATCTTTTCTTTTTTTTATAAATGAAATTAATACTTTCTATTTGATAATACATAATTAAATAATATTTTCTTTTAAATTAAAAAAAATTTTATATATATATGATATATTTTATCGAATCATTTAAAATTATACGTAACATATTTTTCAATTTTCCTTATTTTATCATATTATGAAAAAATTCATTATGAATAATAGATGATTAAATGATTTCTGTCTTCAATTTAATAAAGGAAATAAAAAAGTTTTGAGATAGAAGGTTCATACGTCAATAATATATACGGTTCATCATAGGGCCAGTGAAATCGGGGACGGGCTAAAGTCATAGAATGCGTGTACGCAATGCGTGCGCGTGCGTGTATACACGGGGCGTCGCACGATTCGTAGGTGTTTTTTTGGACTTGAAAAAGGGCGAGTAGTGGGGAATGGAGCTATATTACTCCGTTTCAGAATAACGCATAATCGAAACATTTATACATAGTATTTATACATAGTTGCGTTCACACGCAGTTTCTAAATAGTATCTTCTTATTTATATCAATTTACCTCATGAAAATAGTCTTCCAAAATATATGCTTTCCAAATAATCTTCCAAATAAATGCTTTTCTGTTATTATTGTTATTCTACAGGTAAATTGACCTGATGATATTTCAAATATTGTATTTATTTTTATTTTTGCCCTTTAAATTAAAGTTGATAATTAAAATTATTAAAATAAATATTTTTTATGTTTTATGAGAATATTTTTTTCATATTTACGTTTGTTATTATAAAGTTTTAAAATTTTATATATTTTGTCAATCAATTTATATTTAAAGATTTTTTAAATATTTGTAGGAAAATTTATTATTGTTTTTTCAACAAATTGTTTTAAGAATATTTCAATATTTTTTATATATTTTATAAATTTTGCAATCCACAAAAATTATATATAGTAAAATATTCATTATCATGGAATTTCTTCAATATTAATATTCAAATACATTTATTTTTATGAAAAAGTTTTATATGAATTTAAATGTTAAAAAAATTTCTATATATAAATCTATATATTCTATCTATAAAATGTTGAAAATAAAATAAAATTGTTTTTAAAATGTAATCATAAATTTTAAACATTATCTTCAGGAAATAAATTTTATATTTTAATAAGAATTATTTTATTTATATTATTTATGTTTGTAAAAAATGATTGTTTAAATTATTGATTATTATGATTGTTTAAATACTTTTTTACTTAATTTTATTAATTATAATTGTTTTTCTCGATTATTTTCAGATTTATTTGCTTATAGCAAAGAATGGTGGGTTATTATCAAATAAAACAAATTACAAATTCCACAACGATGTCGGTCAAGAATGAAATATCGACTGTGGAACCAGTAGATCCTGTGAAAAGTCTCGTATGTAGTCCGGATTTAAGTGTATTCACTTCACCGGCATGTGGTTCTGAAACATTAACAAATATTGAAGAGAAGACATACCAGTGTTTGCTGTGTCAGAAAGCCTTTGATCAAAAGAATTTATATCAGAGCCATTTGCGCTCACACGGTAAAGAAGGTGACGATCCATACCGATGCAATATTTGCGGGAAAACTTTTGCGGTACCTGCGCGACTGACTAGACATTATCGTACACACACTGGTGAAAAACCGTATCAATGCGAATATTGTAGTAAATCGTTTTCCGTAAAAGAGAATTTAAGCGTTCATCGTCGTATACATACAAAAGAACGGCCTTACAAGTGTGACGTGTGCGAACGCGCGTTTGAACATAGTGGTAAACTACATCGGCATATGCGAATTCACACCGGAGAACGGCCTCATAAGTGTACTGTCTGTTCAAAAACGTTCATTCAAAGCGGACAATTAGTAATTCATATGCGCACGCATACCGGAGAAAAACCATACGTTTGCAAAGCATGTGGCAAGGGATTCACTTGCTCAAAGCAATTGAAGGTACATACGCGTACGCATACCGGAGAGAAACCATATACTTGTGACATTTGCGGGAAATCCTTTGGTTATAATCATGTATTAAAGTTACATCAGGTATTATTCTTTTTTTTAGATATATAGATAAATAGATATAATTATTTTTTTTTTAATATTCTTAATTATTATTATGTTTTAAAAGTATAATAATAATATAATAATATATAATATATATTTTATAATATATAAAATATGTAATATATATAAATATAAATAATATAATAATATATAAATAATATATATTTAATTACATTTTTTTTATGATAATATAAATATATATAAAGTAAATTTAATTTTTTAAAAATCAAAAAATATTTTATTAATATTTAAGAATTAATATATTGTATAGATTAACAAATTACAGATTTTGTAATTTTTCAATTTTAATATATTGTTACAATAATTAATATTGTTTAAATAAAAATTGTTGCATATATATAATATAATATAATATAATATAATATAATATGATATAATATAAAATATATATAATATATAATATAATAATATAAAAAATGTTTCAGGTTGCCCATTATGGTGAAAAAGTTTATAAGTGTACATTATGTCATGAAACTTTTGGTTCAAAGAAAACAATGGAGTTACATATTAAAACTCATTCAGATTCATCAGTTGTTGGTTCTCCTCGGGATTCGCCAATTGAGCCAGAAATTGAAATCTCACAGAATAGTGTAAGCACTGGCAGTGACAAGGAAAATCACAAGACTGAAGAGCCAAACGATGAAGTTGCTACTTACGATAACACTCCACGTGATTTTCCTTATTATATGTATTCCAGAGAGCAGTATTCACAATCACATCTCATATCTAGTGAAAATAGAGACTTTCAAACAACACCTACTGTCTCTGTTGAACAGCCTCATTTATTTTTGTATCCAGAAGTTTCTTCAACATATACTGGTTTTGGAATTCAAAGTACTGATTTTGTTGGTGATTGTTCATCTCTTCTCAATTTGCCAGGAAATGATGCTCGTAGAAGAGTTGAGGCTGCGCTGGAAGCAGTTGAAGAAGAAAGGCAAAGAGAATATGGAATCAGAGTTGAAAGAGATCCAATTCTAACTCCTCCAAGTAGCAATCCTGTGAGTCCTGTACCTTCGCCAGATCCTCTTGATTTGGCAATTCCTGTACGAGAAACATTAATTCTCCCTCCAAGAAAACGGTGTAAAATGATATTAGAATCCATGGAAATTGAAAGGAATGGTCTTATTGCCTCTCAAAGACAGAACTCTGTTATTCAATTTGCAAAAGCATCATAGTAGAAGATATGGAAGAAATTAATTATTATGAACCAGTGATAATGTCATAAATGGTGAGACATAATGTTCATGAAAAAATATAAAAATTTAAGTATAATTAATGGAAGATATAGTGAGATTATCATTTTCGATCAAGTATCAAAGTTATTTTTTCTTTTAACTTACTTATCAATATTTTGTATAATATATTATATTTATATAAATTATAAACTCTAAACTATGATTTTAATTCTAATTACAAAATATTGTCGATTAATGTTTTTATTTATCTTACTATATCATTCTCACTAATTATACAATGTTGGGAATAGTGATGGGCTGGAAAAATTCAAATAATTAATATTAGAAGATACAAAAATTGTTAAATTTTTAATATCTTAACAAATTTTGAATTTTGGAATGAAAAAATTAAAATGTGATTAATAGAAATAATTTTAATCTCATCATAAAATATTGTTACAATAAATTCACATATTTTAAAACTTTTAAAACTTTTAATATTCAAATAAAATGAAGTTTTAAAAGTAAAATGAATATCAAATGCCCATCGCTAATTAAATAAAGAATTTTGCGCTTCAGAAACAACAGATATTTCCGCGAAATTTTTTTGTGGTATTATATGATCTGAGCTAATTTTGTTTCGACACAATGTTTTCTAGACATTTTAGAATTTTCTTCAAACTTTCAAATATCTTATAAAAAATAAAATAAAATAAGAAAACAATAATTTTTCTAATAATTATATTTAATTTATATAAATAATAAAAAACTTTTAATCATTAATCAAACTGACAATAACTTTTTTTGCATTTTAAACAGAGAAAGTTTGAAGAAAAACAAAAAATTATGGAAAATATGCTTTACAAGCCTTAAACGAACCAATAGAACAACGTCCAATAATTTTACTATTTCAAAAATAATCTTAAACATTTTTGCAGTCCAATAGGATTATAATTGAGTGGCCTCATAAATTTGTGAATTCAACTAGTTCTGAGAACTATTTACACATACCTCAGGTTAAACAACTTAGAACTCGCCAGAAAATCATTTATTATTTATAAATTGCCACATAATATAAAGAAAATATTAATATATTTTGTAAATTGAAAAATTATTTATTTGATATTTTAATGAATTCATTAAGAATCATAGAAAAGGTTCAAATATTAAAATATTGATCGAACCTAATAAGTTTAAGAATGAATTTAATATCAAAACCAATAAATATTTGCATAATTTTTAAAATTAAATGATTTTTTTTAAAATAATTAAAAATTTTAATTACAAAAAAATCATTATTACAGCTGGCGTGCTCTGAGTAATTTTTCATAATATATATATTATAAATATGTGTGTGTGTGAGCGTGCATATATGTATGTACATCATTAAATTGTAACGAATTAGTAAAAATAATGAATATCGCTGTGGCACAACTAGCATCATCATTAAAAAAGGCTTGAAATTAACGTGATCGAGACAATTTTTAAATTCGGATTAATATTTTAATTTTTTTTACATCAAAAGATAAAGTACAAAGAATATTTGACACAAGACGAGATTATGTACAAAATATATAATTCATTTGTTATGTTTTTTGAGTATTTGTAAATTTGATTTTTTTATTGAAAGAAATGCGTGAAAAATTACTTTATTAGAAATTTCTTTTGAAATTTAAAAAATTTAAATAATCGAAATGTATCGATTATGTCTTCACCACTGTCATAAAAAATTTTCTTTCTTTTTTTTTTGATTAATTTATTTCTTTGTTCTTCAAAATTAAATTAAATGTTATGTGTTTTTATAATATATATTTTATGATATATATTATAAATTTTTTTGTTTAGACGAAAATCAAAGATTTTAATTTCTTGCCAAAACTAACAAGATTGATTCTAATCTAAAAATTTTTTTTCTTTACGTAACAAATTTACAATTACGTATTAATATGATATGATGAAAATGATATTAAAATATATTGTTGCTCAATTTCATTGTCTTTAATCTCGTACTTTTAGTTCGAACAAAATACTTAAGTGGTTTTATAATGATTTATTATTACATAGAAAATGAATGATTAAAGGCATTATATGAATTCAATTTTATTTTCATAAATAATTTTCAATTTTAAAGAAAGATGGCGCTAGTTTGCTGTCACATTAAAATTGGTAATATTTATAATATCATAATAATTTATATGTTATCTAAAATTTAATCACATTGATTTATCTGAAATTATTTTAAAAATTAGCGCGAACGAAATTTTTTTTATATTATCGAGGTATAAATAATTTCAATTCAATAGAAAATCAAATTAATTTTAAAACGAAATCATTCGTGTAATAATATTTATTATGAGAAATATGTAATAAATGGTTTCGTTTCATTAAAATTCCGAGGTTAAAAATCTAATTATAAAAGCACACTAATTTCAAGTACAAAAGCGTTGAGTCGAAATGCACGATTCGATAATTTTAAGAAAAAAACAAAACAAAAATTAATATTATATATGTATATTTAATTGCCAACGAGTAGTATTGACCATCTTAAGAGACTTGATTTCCGATCTTGCAAGTCTTACTGAAATAGTACTATACTGTATAAGCGATTACAAAATTCTCACTGTGAGAATAAAATCGATAAAGAAGAAAGTACCAAACACATTAAGAACTCCATTATTGCCAGAGTATTGAGTGGAGCTATGCTCACTGCCAGTACAAGTATGCATGTATAAACGTACATGCGAGTTTAATATTAAATAATAAATTGTATTAGATTATCACAATATTTATAATTTAAAGCCATCTGTATTTACATTTGGCATTACTCCAGTATGAAATAATACAAAATGTTTTATAAATTGTGAAATAATTTAATGGAAGATTCCGCAAAGTGCATATAACTGAAATATAAATTATATTTCAGTTTTAATTCTACTTTCGTATTTATAATTAAGCTTTTTAATACACACACCTAATATTAAAAGAATAAGTCCTTAATATAATATCCAAAAAGTCCGAAATTTTAAGAAATTACGGTACTTAAGATACTATTTTTAAGGTTTTAGTTCAAAAATATTTTATATTAAAATATGTATCTATTAAACGTATATCTATTAAAAAGTATTTAAGAGATACTAAATGTACTTTGCGATTGAATCTACCACTAATTATCGATCTGTGGTTTAGAGAAAAGCTTTGCGTATATACTGAGCCATGTTTATAATTAATAAGTATGTAATATTTATATAGGAGCTCATGTATATTATTCATTTTTTCCTTTTTTTCAATGGAAATAATTTGACACGTGGCCTACTCTTTATTTCTCAAAGATTTAAATAAATCAATCTTTTTGTTATATGCGAATTATATTCTCGTTAAACATGTGAAATTTATGTGCAATCGTATATTTAAGTTCTTTGGGAAGCTTAGCTTTCATTCTTTATTATTGTTTTATTTACTCTCGGCAAAGTTTTAAATAAGGAAATACTCGAGTGTATTGTTATAAATTTTAAGAATTGTTATGTTGTATATGTTTTCGAAGCGCTTAAAATTAGGTTAAAATGTAAATTTTTTTTTTTTTTGCTGTAAGTCGTCGAATATGGCCACGTGATAATACATAAAAAAAAGAATGGATGCAAATTGTTAAGTATTATGATAATAATGAGAAATAGATTGAAATATGCAGAAATAATTCTAGTGTAATATTACAATAATTTGTTATTACTTATTATTTTTAAAATATACAAATACATGCCAAATGGGATGTGTTTTATCCCATTATCTCAAGCGTGTGGAACTGATTACATGATAAAAAAGAAAAGGAAGAAAAAAATTTTGTAGAGATTCATTATATACAAAAAACTTATAACAAAAATAGAAAAATACATTTTTGTAAGAGTCTAAATGAAAGCATTTTTTCAATTTCGCGCTTTTATGATCGATCGATAAAGAAGAAAGTGCATAACGATAATAAAATATCAGTGTTCATAATGAATTAATAAAATATATACAATGACGAAATGATCAACGCGCAAATTGAAAAATAGATTCTCCTTTCAAAATTGACTCGCTGCAATAATTCTAATTGCAATCAATTATTTGTCAAAATATTATTTTTGGTTATTTTTTATTTTTATTTTTTTTTGTACCAATAAAATAAAAATTTTCCGAAATTAAAAACTTTTCGATTATCGATGAGCGATAATGATTGTATTTTCTCATTTTATTCCGCCAAAGTGCGTACAAATAATTTCATAGTCATAAGTTCCGACAGAGGAAATATATTTATTTATTTAATATATGTATGTAGCTATATCTATATATATTATTTACATATGTATTTTTTTGCTGAATGTCGGAAAAAACTAAAAATGTATTCATTGCATTAAAATATATTCTATCGTAAATGTTGTTTTTGAAATTATTAATTTTAAATAAGAAAATATACAAGAATATACATTAATAATATGTGCATATTTCATGAATTTATTCGTTTCCATTATTGTAAGCATAGATAATATATTTTCATCTCAATTAAAAATATCATCATTGAGTATTTAAAATGTGAATATTTACATTTCTCGCTATATATATATATATTTCACGGACAATAAAATACAAGTATATTAAAATTAGAATTATGCAGCCTTTAACAAAACTCATGATGTATATATAATTATCATTTAAATTCAATAATTAATCTTTAATTAATTATCAATTGAAATAAATAGTTGATTAATTTTCATTTTTTAAATTTTTTGTTTTCAATATTACTTTTAATGTTTTGAGGTTGTATGTATTCAATGAAAAAAAAAGAAAAAGAAAAATATTTAATATATAATTTTTTTGTGTAATATTAAAATAATTAAATAATAATGTGTAGCGCCAACTGCCTACTGTTGATAAGTATATATAAAAATATACATATATACAAATATTAAATATTAGATGTATACAAATATATATACACAATATATGTACAAGATATTTCATTTTAATCTTTATATGCGATTATCTTAGAAATTCTTCGATTCAAAAAAAATGTTTCAAGTAGAAAATTATCTTTAGATCAAATTATTTTTAGTTTTAAGACATTCTGAGCGATATTTATTGAACGTTAGACGATTTTTATTATATGTCTTCCAAAATCATTCAAAGTTAATTATGATTTACGATTAATTCATGTAGGACAATAAAAATATAATATTTTGTATAAAAATAATTTATCGAAAGAATTCATTGTGGTTATTTATTTACAGAATATTAGAAAAAAAAATATAAAATAAAACTATTTTTCAAAGTTGGAATATAAAAAAAAAATAAATTCATATATCAAATAAATATAAATATAATAAAATAAAATTGAATATAATAAAAGAATTTGTAACATGAATGATTTTGAATGATATCAAAAGACAAATCATTAAAAAATTTAGAAATTTAAGATAAAAAATATATAAGTATATAATATGGATAGTTTCACTTAAAAAGAATCTCAAAATCACCTATATATACGTAATACATGTATACACAATTTATGTCCATTATAAGATTTCTAGAAATAAATTCAAATAAATTTTATAATTAGATAAAGATTAAAATGATATATTTTGTATGCGTGTAAGATGTTCCATAAATTTTATTGTCTTTAGCATTTTTTATTTATATAGCAAATTTATTAAATAAGTATACATTAAATATTAATACATCGAATTCATCGAGTTATGAATTTTTATTATACTATTCTTTTTATGTATTATACAAATACATAGATATACAAAGCAAATTTTTATAAATATCAATTTTCTCGACATATTTTTTGACAATATAATTATTTTTAATTTGTACAAAAATCATTTTAAAATTATATTCCATTTATTATATAGATATATGTATAATATATTTATAAGTATAATATTAATTAATGTTTATAATTTATTTATTTAATATTAGTTATTATAAGATTTTCAATGTAATTAATATAATTGATTTATTCTAATATGAAATTATAAAAATTATTTTCAAAATTGCTTTCTATTTATTAATTGAAAAATTATTATAAAATATTTTCCACATAAAAATATATAAATATTATATATATGTAAATAAACAATATATATATAATTTATATAATGAAAATAAGATTTTATTATTATTATTAAAAATTTTATTATTATTATTTAATTATTATTAACGAAATATAAATAATCATTTTTATTAAATTTATTATCATTATAATTAAATACTTATCTCACATAAATAGTTATATTACTATTAAATTACTATTAAATATCTTGTAAAGTTTTTTATTTATTCATATATAATTTATAATTATGTATATTAATTTTAATTTTTAAATTGTATAAATTTAATTTAATATTAATCAATTTATTATTTTAAATTAATATTTTTTAGAAAAATTATATTGTTATACGTGATATAACAATATTGATATAATAGCATAATTTTAATTTGAATGTAATATTTTAATAATATGTTACCTATAATATTTATTTTTACTTTTAATATATAATTTTAGTAATAAAGAATTTTATTTAGTTATAATTTTATATATATTATATATAATTTATATATAATTTATAGTTATAAATTTTATATATGCTAAGAATATTAAGTGAAATTCGAAAATCATTCTTGTGTCAATGGTATAAGAATCAATGACACTAATATTTTCTTGTCCTTCTACATCACATATCCATGAATTATACCTACTATCTATACATACTTCCATATTAATCAAAAATGCCACACTGTTAACAATTCTATAGTCTCTACCAACATTACTAATTTCGCTTTTTACTATATTCCTGTTTTTTTTCTACTTTTGGCAATCTTGTTCAAAAATCTATTTGTAAACCCGTTTACATCAAAAAAAACTTTTCAAATGCGAACGAATGTTTGTGGAGATTAGATTAAAAATTAGAATTCTCGGTAATTATTCTTAATTTTATTTTTAGATTCGTAACAATAATATCTAATGAGACATTTTAATTACATTCTTAGAATATTTGTATTTTATTAAAGTATTTGTTCGCTTAGTTTAAACGTACCTTTAGATTATTTTACAATGAGAAATATCGGTGAAAAAGATCATGCATTTTCACTACTAGCACGTTCAAACTTAAATTTTTTTTATTTCTTAATAATATGCAAATAGAAAAAAAAAAATGAAAGAATTTTAACGAATAGAATAGAAAGATTATCTTGTAAAAATAGAAAGATTTTAAAAGTAAGAATAAATAATTTTTAGTTAAATCTCATTTTGGAACGCTAGAAATTTTTTAATTTTTTGTTTTGTGATACACTTCAATAAATAAGATTTGAAAACAATGATTATATATATATATATATGTAAAACTAAACTATATATATAACTATATAAATATAAACTATTATATATATATAAAGTTTAACATTTTCAGTGTATTTTACGATTACTTTGAAACCATGTATCATTTATAGATTTTTCAATTAATCAAGTCAACAGATGAACGTAAATGATGATTATATATTTTAACAGGTTAGTTCAAATTTTGTTATACAAATGTACAGTATATATTTTATAATTATTATTCTAATAATTTATTGCATAAAATGCAGATAATTGATGTATAATATAATTGATTATAACTCAATTTAATTTTGGCTTAAATTCAACAGTTTGATTTAACATTGACTCAATTTTCGTTGGTTTTAAATTATAATTCAATTTGAATTTTACCTAAATTATAATTCAATTTAAGTTGAGATCATAATTATGAGTTCAATTTTATTCTTATGATTCAATTTAAATTTATTATATTATCATATTCTATATTTATTATATTATTGTATTCTTTAAGTAAAAGGTAATTTAAATTTGGCGCGTGCTAGTATTTCTATCGTCCAATCGGATGTTATAAAAAGCCAATATGGCGTCAATGTAACCCGTAAAATACGCTAAAAACGCTAAGTTTTACATACGCAAAACTTTTGATTCAATGAATTCCAACAATTGAAATCGATATTTTTGTATTTTACTGATCAAAATCTATTGGACGATATAAAAAAAGTTTAACAATTTTTAGTGCTCAAAAACGAAGTTTAACCTAAGTTTTTATTAAATAACGTGGAGATGGAAATAGAGAATTGTGAAGGAAATAAACAAAAATTAGACAGTCCAGGAGATACATCGGAATATTCTGCACCAACAACAACTCAGTTAATGACTTATAAGCCTGTGAAAGTAAATTTGAAAAGATCATTGTGAGTATTAATCATTGATTTGTCAAAACTTATATCAATAGTTTCTTGCTATACTTCTATGAATGTTGTTTCAGTTCTTCGAAAATGTTAACAGAGAAAAATGATATTAAAAAGGAAGAAAATGATGCAAATACAAATAATGAAACAAGTGTTCCAAACAAGGTTTGATAATATATTTCTTTCTTAAACAAATTAATTAATAATATATGTAATTTATCAAATATTTTAGAAATATTATAATGATTAGAACATTAAAACACAGAATTTAAGTTAATTTAAAAATTATATTTCATAGGAAAATCATGATACTAGTGAACAAGATTTAAAATGTATTCCAAGAAAACGTCGATGGGGTACTACATTGTCTACAGATACTGCACCTTCATTTTCAATTTCTACAGATTCACTTAAAGTAATAATTTTATTTCTATTAATACATATTTATATTATTAATTATAATAATAATAATATTACATTTTATATTTTTTAGAAAAATATTTCTTGATTTTTACTCATAATATTTTATAATTTTAAAGATTTCAAAAATTATCATATAATTATATATAATGTAATATATATTAGATATTATTTTATTTTTAAAGTTTTGTTCTATGAAATAGGCATTAGTGCCAGGAGCAAGACCATTGTCGATAAATGAAGTTCGTCTTTCAAAAGATGATGATGAAGATAGAGATCATTATCAGATTAGTGAAAAGTGGCACAATTCTAATGAAGGAGTAAATGATAATAAATCTGGTGATGAAAATATACAAAAAAATGGTACAGCAAAGAAAGGAGATGCAAAAATAGATAATCATATAGGTATGTAAATCTATTCAATAATCTATTTTATGCAAATTATTTTAATTTGTCATTGTCACGTTTTATTATATTTATTTATTATATTTATTAAAGATTAATCAAAACAATTTGATCTTTTGTAAATGGCATGAAAATATTTTGCTTTTAATATTTTTAAATATTTGAAACATACAAAAAAACTTTTGTTTTTATAAAATAAAATATTCTATTAATGTTTTTAATTCAAAGTTTTTACATTTTTATTAAATTGTTCTGATTTTCAGCGGCAAGACGAAAAATATCTATTGTTAAAGAAGTGCCACATATAAAATCTCCGAGTCCACCTGCTACAAAACCTACAAATATACTTTTGATTAAAAACTTGGTTCGTCCTTTCACTTTAAATCAAATTAAAGAGTTACTCTCACGTACTGGCACAATTGTTGAAAATGGATTTTGGATGGATAGAATTAAATCCAAATGTTTTGTAGAGGTATTATATATATATATATATCAATTATGTTTAAATAGTATACTCATTTAATATATTATATTATATTATAATATGATATATAAATTAATTTATATATAATATATAAATTAAATTATATTATAATATGATATATAAATTAATTTATATATAATATATAAATTAAAACATTAATATATAAATGATAATATTAATTGAATTGTTACAGTATGCAAATGAGGATCAAGCATTTGAAACAAGACAAGCATTACATGGTATATCCTGGCCTGTTTCAAATCCAAAAAGGCTTCATGTTGAATACGCAACCAAAGATGATATGGAATTGGCGCGAGAATTGTCAAAAGATCAATCTATTCCAAGAAAAACAGAACCTCTTGTACCATCTGATTCATGGCAACAAGATTGGAACCGTGAAGAAAGGACAAATACAAAGGTATTTTTATAATATTATATCATATTATAATAATATGAACATATGTAAACATATTATAAACATATGAACATATTATGAACATGTAAAGAATTTAAAGGAAGAATGTAAAAGTTCAAAAAAGATTTCTTTTTTTAAAAAATAATAATTATAATAATGTAATAATTAAATGAGAATTTCGATAATAATAGGTAATGGTAGTCCGAGAATGGGATCTAGGTAAGGAAGATGGCCAGCAGCACATAAAAGAGAAAGAACGTGAAAAAAAAGAACATGATAAAAAAAGACGACAGAGGAGTCGGAGTCCAGCGGTGGAAGCACACTTGCCAGCTCCAGCCCGTAAATTCAAAAAGAAAGAGGATGAGCCACCACCAGCTAAACTTTTAGATGATCTCTTTAGGAAGACAAAAGCAACGCCATGCATATATTGGTTACCACTCATAAATGAACAGGTACATTAAAAATATAATCAAAAATAAAAAAAAAATATAAAATAAAAATTTCATATTTATAAATGTAGGAGAACAAATATATATTAATTTCTTTTTTAATACTTGAAAAATATATTTATTTTTGCATTTCAGATTATTATTGAATTTTATTATAATTATTTTTATTTTTTAATTAAATATTAATTATAATAAATAGTAATTATAATAGTTTAATTATAATAAATAGTAATTATAATAAAATATAGTAAATTATATTTTTATTAATTTTTATATCTTTTAAAGTATTAAATATCATTCTTATTTTTTAACTTAATGATAAAATAAAAAACAAAAATATATTATAAAAAAAAAATAATATTAAAACTAAAGAAAAATGGATTTGAATATATGATTTTTGATTAGAAAATCACTATATATTATATATATATATATCCTTCACTAAGACATTCTTTTAATTCTTTGATATTATTATTATTTTATTAAATTCTTTTTATCAAATATGGAGAATCCATAATTTTTTGATAATATAATAATTAAAATATACTTGTATTTATAAATATAAAGTATCTTATTTTATATCTTACAAAAACAATTCAAAATAACTTATTATTTATTATAATCTTTTCTTAAGTTTTATTCTTAAATATATATACAGTATATATATATATCTTCATATTTTTAAATTCTTCAAAATTTTTTTTATTTTTGTTTATTTTAAGAATATTTTATCTTAGATTTATTAAATTATTTTTTTGTCATTTATCATACATTTATTCGTAAATATATGTTATTATTGTATTATTTTTACTTATTATAATTTTTATTATAATTTTTTTATTTATTATAATTCATTAAAGTACTTATACAAATATTTTAATTACAGATAGTTGTGAAAGAAGAAATGAGAAGGCAACATATGGCAGAACATGCGCGCAGATTAGAAGAAATGAGACGCGCAGAGAGAAACAACAGAAACAGTCGTCGCCGTCGTAGTCCGAGAAAATAGTTCTCTGATCTACCACTTTCGATAAACGTACCTTTCCCTTTCTGATGCAAAAATTCCGATTTTGATCAGTTACATTTTTAAAAACGATGTTATGAATCACGGAAAGACAAATGAATTTTTTCTTTTTACATTAGACAGACTTGCCGAACATACTCTTTAAATTTTACTTTCTCAATCGTTCCACGATTTGCAGGCTGTTTTACAATTTAACATATGGTGTTAGAATTTGCGTTTTTATTCTTCAATTTTTTTCTTTTTTTTTTTTTTTTTTTAATTCAGAAAACTTTTGTTTCTGTATCGACTTCGCGTATTAGTTTCTCTGTTTGATTTCATTCGTTCAATCGCTGATTTTTGTTCATTGGTCAGAAACTGTACAAATTTGTTGCATGATCAGGAAACGTCCCGATCTCCGATCCATCGTCCCTGAAATTTCAGCATTAAGGGGGTATTCTGGTAATCCGGCCAAAAAGATAAGCAATATTCAGGATTTTTTTTCTCGGTAAATAAATGATAGCTTTGTAAAACTTTTATACTATATTAATGCTTACTTAACTTTTTTTTATTTATATATAATTTATATATAATTTTTTTACATAAAATAATGTGCAATAACGTCTCTAAGAAAATCTTACTGGCAGAATAGAAAAATCAACTGAAAATTTTTTGCATATTTTTAATTCCTTAATAGATAGCAATCACTTATGCTAAAGGTACTAATTCTTAAAATATGAAAGATTATCTTTTAATTACAATTTCTATCTGCAAAAAAAATATATAATATTCAATTTAATTAAATAGCTATCGACAATAGTTAATGATTTGTAGAATAATTTTAAAAAATTTCAAATTAATTAATTTAGATAATCTTTTCTATTTTTATTCCGCCAATAAGAAAAAAATCGTTTCGAGAAAAATTAAAAAATTTTCCGTACTGACTTTTGATAATAAATATAAATTTATATTCAATCGGCAATTCTGGCTTTATACAAAATGCCTTTAGCTACTTCATACTCTTTATCTTCAGTTGATCTAACATTTCTATCGACTTGGGTTGTTTTGAAGTGTTAGTATTCTCGCGTTCTGATTTTGCAGATTCATGTTTCGTTCTACTTCTCCGTGACTGACATGGCATCTGGTTCGATAATCATGTTCATCCTTTGCATTATTTTTAGAAGTTTAAATCTTCCATTAATGTGCAAGCACATTACATGGCAATTTTTTATTAACTTTTTTTCAGAAAAAATATGTTTGGAAAGCATCACATGCAAGAGTTAAAACTTTTGTTGTTCTTTTACGTGTTTGTCTCCGAACATTTTTCTATAATCATCTGAAATCATTATACACGGGCTTCGAAGTATCACGAATTTTATCATCAATAACAAATGGATGTTTATAATCTTCCAATGTTTTAGTTGCTTCAGCCTTGCGCCATTTACACCAAGATTCAGGTCCTTCTGCGCAATAGGAATGCTGAGGATTTTCGACAGTCGAAATTTTACGATAGTAAGTCGTTCATACTGCTTTCCTCATCTCTTCGGTTGAATTTGAGTGTCGACATATAGTCAAGCTAGTAATAAAAAATTCCTCTATCAATTTATTTGTCAACTATATTTTTTCGCCATTGTACTTTTCCTCTTTTTCTTTGATTTATTCGTCCTTGATTTGCAGTTGTTTTTGTGTCTTTTTCAACTGAGTAAGTTGTTTTTAATATTCGCGCATTTCTTCATATATGAAACGCACTCTTTCTTCTTATTATGATGAAATCATCTTCTTAAGATTTCGCATTTAATAATCCTCCAATGAAATAATCATATATTTTTCGTCATACTTTTTGGTAGATCTTTCAAAACTTTTAAAATATTTTCATCGTATCTTCGTGGTTGGCATCGCACATTGCATCATTTCATGCCATGCATTGTTTTAATATGCGTCGCTTATACTATACGAGGGAAATCTATGTTCAATGTTGAAATAATATTTATATTTGAAAATTTCATTATATTTCGAAAATATAGAGAAATATTTGAAAGGTATAAATAATATTAATAGAATCGATTAGAGCTAGAGTTAGGTATTATTAAATAGACCGAAACGAGCCGCTCGACCGCTAGTGTTCATGCGGCGCGCTTCGGCGCGTTCGTTACAAAAAATTATATTAGTCTAAATTATTTTGAATTTTGCTATCAAATTTTCAGATAACATTTTTAGAGATACATACTTTCGAAAAATGTATAAAAAAATTGATTTTTTGAAACCGGATTACCAGAATATCCCCTTAAACCATACTTCTTACAGGTCGACATTGACTATCCAACAGTGCGGCGTAACTGTAGAACAAACGATAGTGTTTGCATCGTGTAGGAGTGATGCATCACGTTCTACGATACGTCGTAGTGCGATATCGCAAAACGTGCCCTGGGAATTGGAGGATAATCAAACGAAAAACTGTCCACATAGGGAAAAAAACTTGAAACTTAATATTCATGATCATTGAAAATGTTTGTTTTCTTACAAGAAGACAAAACAAAATAAAAACAAACAAAAATGAAATGAAATGAAAGTTGAACGAATTGTTAGAAGCAGCAACAAACAAAAAACCTGAAATGATGATGGCGAGAGACTGTGGTATTGACTGATATGAAGTTATCTTAAAGCATCAATGAGAGTATTTTCTCTCCCTGGAGTTATTTCTTTTCTTTGTCGGTAGAATAGCCTGACTTCCTTGAATTCTGACATATACTACCATAAATTTGGTAGTAAAATGTAAAGTTTTAGTGTTTCTCGTTTTCGCGCAATAAATTTGCACAACCAGAAACACATTTGTATATATAAAGTATAATTCAATATACCGTGATATGACATGTAAAATTATCAATAAATGTAAAACACTATAGGTTATATACAAAAAATACATTTGCCGCTTACTTTATACAATGTCACACCATATTTAGAAGATTTGTCATTCATCCTTGAAATAAGATCGAAAGATTTACGAAAAAAATACACTTTTAAAACAGAAAATAAATTTATTCGTTATATTTATTTTATTGTTTGTATTCGAATTCGTGTGATTCGAATGAATATATTTTACTAACATATAATCGGAAAGAAAACCACTTCACAAGGAAAAGAATTATATAACAAAATAACTCAAGCATGTGACAATTAATGTTTCAACCAGGAAACGATTGTTTACGTAAACTTATTCGATCTTTATTTATATTAACATCGTTAACGCTAACATTGTAATTGCTTCAATTTACAAAAATCGTGAATTACAAGATGTGTGCATGTCAGCTATTAATTAAAACATCTCACAATCATAAATATTATAAATAGGAAAAATAAAATTGAACTGAAAATTTCAAGTTTAATGTTTAACTTAACTACCAGTTTGTACACTATTATGTCCTTTCTGTAATTAAACTAATCTTAACAATGTTATGTTCAAAAAACACTTCTTTCGCATTTAAAAAAAAAACAATTATACAATAATATACATCTTTTATTATTTTCATTTGTTTTATATTATTACGTAAGAAAGATCAAGAATTGAAACGATTATAAAAAACTGTAATATTTGTTTTGATTATAATTCCAAATCTATTTTTAAATCGTATTGATCATATAATTAATATATACCTTAATATGACTTATTATTGTACATATATGTATAAGTATTTTTTGTATAAAACTAAAAAAGCAAACTAAGATAATTCAATATATAACTGTTTTTAATATTAGAAATATTTTAATTTTTAAATTTAAATAATAAATATTTTAAATTTTTTTCTTAAATCAATTTAAAAAATTGGAAAAAGAAACTTTTCAGATTTATATTTATAAAGTAATTAGACTATTTAAATCAGAATAAAATTATAATAAATCACTATAATAAAATGATTTGAAAAAGTTAATTAATATAGTTAGAATCAATACATGAATCATTAATAATAATTAGAATCAATATATGAATCATCAATAGGATTATAAGAATCAATATTTTCATTAATTTTTATTCTTTATAATGGTATTTTGAAATTATTTTAAGAAATTTGAAATTGACAATAATTTTCAATCCCTAAAAAAAATTTCTTTTTTAATTTATAATATTTTGTCTAAAAATTCATATTTAACAATAAAATTTTAATGAAATGAAATTTATTTTTTGCGGTTGCATTTGCATCACAATTAATTAATTTAAAATATATAATTTGAATGTATATATGCGATTATATTAATTTTGCGGTACATTCAATTTAAAAAATAAAGTTCGAATATAGGATTATAAAGGATTCGATCTTATAAATATGATAAAAAATGTGTGTATACGTTACAATTCAAATTTATAATCCAAAAAATTGAAACAATATTATTTGGAAATTATTAAAAAAAAAGTATTTTTTTATTTACAATGTTGATTAACATTTTTAATCTATTACTGTAAACAAATGAATCTAATGATAATATTATATTTGGATTTTATAATTTATTTGTAAAACGTATACACATATTTCTATAGTTTCGATACGCCTATCTCGTTATCAAAAGGATGCATACTAAGTTAATGATGAACGCATTAATTTAATTCCTATATTGAAAAATTTTTGATATTTTATGTTTCGATTTTCAAATAGTAAAATAAATAATCTAATTAAAACCCTTTTTATGTACAATATTTGTTAAATATTATCATTATACTGAGTTTACTTCACTATTTACTAGCAATATATATAAATAATAAATCGTATTTGGAATATTTAATCAAAATATCATTGATTAAAAAAATAAATTGAAAATAAAACATTTGCATATAAGAAGGGTTTGATACAAATATATTAAAATTCTTTTCAAAATTGATATCAATTATTCATTCTGCTTATTATTTACTCATACCACATTTATTTTATTTCGATGGGCATCATTTAATACATTAGTCGACTTTCACGACACTGTAGATTTTTCGTACAAACCAGAAACAGGCAAAGAAACCAATTGATCCTATTAAATATATAAAATATATAATATAAAATAATAGTTTATTTTTTATTATAAAACATCATAATTTTATTAATAAGAAAGAAATACATCTTACCCGTCAAAACGAAAAATAAGTAAACCATAATACAAGTATAACCGAAGTAGAGAAATGTAGATGTAGCATCTTCTATTTCCAATTTAGTCATAAAAAAATGTATGCAGTAAACTAATAAATAAAATGCAGTAAATCCAGATGTTAGGAAACTACGCCACCACCAATGATAATCCTATAAAAAATATATTTAAATATTTTTAATAATTATTATATTATCTATTATATATATATCTATTTTATTAAAAATATTATTTATTTACCTCTGCGCAAAGATGAAAATAACAAAGTAAAATTGTTGTTTCTGAACACGTAATTACAAGTATAACAAATACCAAAAAAAGAAATCCAAACATGTAATACACCTGACTTGCCCTGAAAAAATAAGCTAAAATTTAGAATAAAAATGTTAAAAATAAAAAATTCTCTCTTATTTATAATTAAATTAGCAATAATTGAAAATAATTTAAATTAATAATATTTGTGATTGCAAAAACTATTGCAATATATTTTAATAATACCTACCATAAAGAATTAAGAATAAAGAATAATTGTATAAATATACATCCAAAAGGTAAAACTCCACCCATTATTACTCCAGGAATTGGTTGAGTATAAAAACTTTGCTCTGGTATTTGTCTAGGAATTTGATTAGTTCTTACAGGATGCTCTAAAGACTGAAATAAAATTCATTATTAATTTTTCTATGAAATATGATTTTTTTATAAATAAAATAATTATATAAACAAGATAGAAAATATTTTGAAAAAAGAAAAAAATTTTTATATTTCTTTTTTTAATAAAGAAAGTTTTTGCAAAAAAAAATTTACCCTTTTTCTAAATCCAAAATAAGCACCAATAAATGTTAATGGAAGAGATACTCCAAACCAAAGTGCTAGAAGGGCAATAAGAGTACTAAATGGTACTGCAGCTGAACTTTCATTTGCCCAAAATATTAAATTCATTATGAAGAATAAACTGAATACAATTCTGTAAATAATTCAATAAAATTAAATATTTTTTACATGATAAAAAATATTATATGAAGTTGTATGTAATTTATATTCTCTGTGTATATATATATATACAGTATCTTAAAAATGTTGGAACATTCATAAACTGGAAATTCTGGATAATTTTAAGCAACATTTTTCTTTGCAAAAACTTTCATTATAATTTTGTTAGTGAGTTATTAATAAAAAATAATCACGAACTAACCTAATCGAACCGACGAATTAGCTACATGCTATGTAATTATAATAATGAATAAATAAATAAATATAATATTCAACATACTTTTTTCGAGATATATTGTTTGAATCTGTGGTCAATAGGCGACATGAAACCAATGCTATTGTCGCAATTAGACTAGATTACATGCTCTGTGATTACATGCTAGTGTTTTTTGTTAATAACTTGTAATAACAAAGCTATAAGTTTTTGTAAAGAAAAATGTTACTTGAAATTATTTCCAATTTACAGTCATGTTCCAACATTTTATTTTCTATATATTCAAAACACAAAACGCAAGGAATTATTACATTCACAATCAAGTTAATATTGACTGAAAAGAAGATGTGCTATTAACTTTGATTCCTGATATTTTCATTATCTCGAAAATGTACAACATTGAAAATTAATTAATTATTAGTTTTCTATTAAAAAATTTTTGTAAATTCTTTTAAATTCTTTTAAAGCTAAAATCATAAACAATTTTTTCGTATAAATTTCAAAAAATTATTATTAATTATTTATTAATAATTACTATACAGAGTATTCCCGATCTGTAATAAATAATTAATTTATTTAACAAAATTATAAATAAAAATTATATATAAATGTAAAAAAAAATAGTTTAAAATATATTCATATTTAAAAATAAATCTCATAATATGACATAAGTAAAAAAATTACTAAATAAGAAAATTATAGAATTTTCTAATTTCTTAGTAGAAAAGTAGTAATTAATTAATTTTCAATATTTACGACATAATAATTATGAACTGCAATCGAAATTAGTACCATATATCTTTTTTTATCATCATATAATTTTTATCATAAATATTTTTTTATCATAAATATCTCCTTAAATATTTTTAATAATAAGTCGAAGTTCGTACTATTTGCGAAATAGCGTTATCTAATTTATATTTATATATTATATTGTATCAAATTCTATATATATTTTTGTATTTTTATATGTGATATATATGTGTATTTTGTATATATATTTTTTTATTATGTATATATTTCATACATATTTTATTTTTGGATTTTTTATATTACGATATTTCAAAATCAAAAAAAAATTTTCACATGTTACTAATTAATTTAATCATATTTTAATACAAAATTGCAAATTTGAATAAGAATTTTTATTTATTTTTTTGATTCAAAAATTTCTATTTTATATTAGGAAAATATAATCCAAGAAAAGGTGACATACGAAACTTTTATATTTTCAAGAATAAAATTTTTTTACTAAATTTTTTATATTTACAATTATAGTGTTAAATGCAAGAAGATTTTTAGTAATAATTGTCAGTTTCTATATTTTTAAAAAAATTTCGCCAACATTGATTCAATTTTCAAAGTACAAAAGATTTATATATATATATATATATATAAAGAATGTAAAATCTTATTAAACATCTTCAAAAAAGACTGATCATCTTGAGATTTTTCTTATATTCAACAATACTAACAATACAAGCTGTGATTAATTTTAATAATAATTTTATAATTTTATAATTTCATGAATTAGCATTTATTATGTACCAATTTTTATTAAAAAAAAAAAAAAAGTAAAAGTAAAGTGTTACCCAGGACTCAGCATAGATGTCAATACTACATTTGATTTCCATTTTTCACCGCCGAAACTTTTATATATTCTAGCAGATACATAACCAGCAGTAGCTCCAAGACAAACATATAAAACCATGGCACAGGTCATTAAAGCTCCTCTATTTGCAGGAGATAAAAATCCCAAACAAGCAAATGCTATTGATAATATAAAAAAATTTTTTAATTTTTATATTTTAAATATAAAATATTAAATATATATATATATATACACATATATAAACTTACCAAGTGTTACAAGTGTCATATAAAACACCTGAACTCCAGATCCAAGTAAAACTGAGAGTAACATTCCTTTACGAGGAGGTCTAAATACATCACCATGAACTAATTTCCAACCAAATTCTTCATGTGCATCTTCTCCTGATTCTATCTGGAAAGAAGCCTGCGTTATTGCAACACAGACATTATAGTTTTATGATACAAAACAAAATGTTGGATTATATGTCCTCATTAATTAAACAATAATATTATTATGTTAATTAATAATTATGTTAATAATTTTAAAAGTTGCAATGAAATATAAATTTATTGATTAAAATAAAATTTATTGATTAAATTTATTGATTAAAATAAAAAATTTTAAAAATATGACTAAATGATTAGTACATTTCTTTATTGTACCTGATTGTATCTTGCAATATCTTTGTGCAATGTTCGGAGCAATATCATGGCCACCATTCCAGAAAGAAATAAAACGATTATTAATGAATTAAGAATACTGAACCACTGAATATTTGTATGCGGCATAGATTCTAAAATATAATCCCACCTAGATGACCATTTGATTGTACTATTTTCCTAAAATTAAAAATATAATCATAATTTTTGCTTAATAAAATTATCAAAAAAAAATATTTTCAATTTGTTAATATTAATGCTTACTATATATGTTACAGAGTATGTATAAGTAACAAGTAATTGTTGACCAACAGAAAGTGGATCATGTGGTATGTCTAATGGTGCTTTGTTTTCACAGTCAGGAATATTACCATGTTTAATACTACGAGGAACCACTTTAGCAGCTATTAAAGTAAATAAACATAATTTCAGTAAAATTCAGCAAATGCAAATTAAAGTATAAATAAAGGACAGATATAAAGTTTAATTCTTACATATTATGCGTCCACCATTTTCCTTAAATGCAGATCCCCATTCTTCTTTAACACCACTATGATACGTAATTGTAAGGTCTACATGATTAAATAGGTAATAAGTTTTTGCTTTGATATATGCAGCCTAATAAAGAAGAAATTAATTAATTTTACTTAATATATATTTTGTTTAAAATTTAAAATATAATAAATATTTTTTAAATCTTCTATAAAACATTTATTATAATAATTATTTTTTCTCTTATTTTAATTCATAAATAATATTGATTTAAATTTACATTAATACTGCAACTATCCACTTGAGATCTTGATTCTCGAGAAAAACATCCCATTGGAAATCCAGTGCTACAATATTGTCGTTCATCTTCTAATTGATAACACCATGTAACTGGCATATTATCTATAAAAAAAAATAATATAGTTATAATGTTAACAAGAATATGAATATTTTATCTTTAAATTCATTAAATTATGAATATATTACCAACTATCCAATGATGCTGATAATTAAATGCCATTCCTTTTTTCAAAAATTCCAATTTTCTTTCTGAATCTCTATCTCCTCCTTGATATTTTTTTTGACACACTGTTGCACATTTAACATTTTTCATGAATTCTAACTGAAAATTTATATAATATATATTATTTTTTTATAATATATATATAAATTTTATATTTTTAATTTTATACATGAAATTATTTTTTTAGAGCAAACTTAGATAATTTTCAGATGTATAAACAGAACTATTTTATTTGAAATTTTCCATACAATTGATAAAATTATACTTATTTTTCCAATTCTTATTCTTTTTATTTGATATTTTTTTAGTAATTTAATATAATATAATAATATAATAATTTGATATTTAACATTTATAAATTATAAATTTTTATATTTTTTATAATTGTAATTCTTATATTTTTTAAATATAATTATACAAAAACAAATAAAATTGAATATAATACAAAATTTTTATATAATTATATATATTTTATAAAAATATATATTGAAGATTTAATATCATACCTTATATGGTGAAGGTCTTATTCGTTCTCCAAATACAACTTGTCCTAAATTTTCAACAGGACTTTGACTTTCATCAGAAGGGCAAAAATCAAAACTAAAATGATATAATTCAAACATTTATATCATATATGATATTTATATTATATTTATATACATATATATACATGTATATATATATTTTTGAAGACTTACTGATGATATTCATATGGTATTACATATTTCTCAGTATTTAAACGATTTACATACAGTTTAATTTCAGACTGAAAAAAAAAAATATTTTAACAAAACAAAATACTTATCTAATATTTAAACAGATTGTAATTATATATAAATATTTTATATTTTTTTTTAAATTATATATATAATTATATATAAATAAATAAATTATAAATTATTTCTTAGATATTATATTTTTTAAGTTTTAACTTTTATAAAGTTTTTGTAAATTATAAATAATAAATTTAAAAAAAATATATTTAAATTTTTATAATTTTTAAAATATATTGATGTATTTAATTTATTAATCATAAACTTAAAAATTGAATATAATATTTATATAAAACAAAAATATAAACATATTAATAACAATTATTTTTTACAATTCATATATTGCTGACATTTCATTATACAAATCAAAATGCAAATTAAATATAAAATATTTATTCGTAAAGTCGAATTAAGAATATCTCATAAAAATTATACAAATAATTATATTTTCTAGTAAAACCTTTCATGGCTCAATTTCAATACTATGAATCGCATGTCACGAAAGGCCACGTCAAAAGATATTTGTAATTACCAAAAATTAATCCTTAATTAATGTAATACCAAAAATAAAAATTAGATTAAAATAAGACTAATACTTGACAAGTATTATAATAACGAATGTGAAGTATTTATATTTATAAAAAGAAAGAAAAAATATGATAAACTAATGTAGTCATGATTAATTTTTGAAATATTTAAAAGTTTTTCATACGCACTTTACATGTTTCAGAAGTTTCTCCAACTTTGCAATAATTCACGGGCGCTAAACCCGGTAAATAAAAAGCTAATGAATGATGAATTGAACATATAACAAACAATAAGTACAGCAAAATTATTTTCGCCATTGTGTATTGTTGTTCGTTCTTACTAACTACTTGCCTAGTGCAAGTATATGTCAATTACTATATGAAAAACATCGGACACTACACTGCCATGATACCGTCATTGATAACAGACGTATTAGACACAGATTGGTAATTTTACCGCGTGGCAGTTTCGTTATTTATATTATCAAATTTTTAATTACAAATCAGATAAAAATAAAAAATAATTAGAATTCTTTTTGTTTTCTCTTTTTTTAATTTTTATATTGATAATTTATTTGTAATGTCTTAAATATATAAATATAATGAATTTATTATTTTTAAATTCCTTTTATTTTTAAATCACTTTATCACAAACTAAATATAAAATAGACATCTCATCCAATTTAATTTTGTCATGTAGAAACTTTATGTAATGTTATCGATTCAAAATAAAAAAAAATAACATTGCTATGACAAAAAAAAGAATTAAACATATAATTACTATTATTATTAATTATAATTAAAATTATTATATAAAAAATTTATTATAAAAATTAAGAATATGTTATAATGATATAACAAAATAAAAAAAAAGATTTTTTTATTTTTTTAATTTTATCAAATTTACTATTTTTATATGTTTGAATTGAATATAATTACTAAATTCGGCTTAAATTATCAAGAAAAGTATTGATTTTTCGTACGATCGATAATATAGAATGACTTAAAATCTCATAAAGTTTTAGATCTACTTTATATCTTGTCTGTGATTTTATTAAATAATCTTAAATAATAAATTTTTTAAATATATCTGAAAGTAATTACAAATTAAATGATATAATTGTATAAAACATTATTTAAATAAAGTTTAATTTTTTATATAAAAATTTTTGTGATTAATTTAATAATTCAATTATAATATATATTATTATAATTTATTATATAAGTAGATTTCAATATAATCTTTTTATGTAAAAATTTTTTTTAAAATCATTACTTTAACATTAATATTTAATATTTATTAATTTTATTATTATTATTTACTAATTTATTATTATTTTTATATATAAATAAAAAATCTATTTTTAATAATATAGAAAAATCTATGCTTGCCATTATTTTATTGAAAAATTTAAAAAATAATTTGTTTGAAATTATTCATTATTATCACGCTATTGCATTTCATTTTTTTTTTATAATTACAATTGTAGATATATTACATCATACATTACTTATGGAAGACTTATATGTGAATACTTTATTCTATGATCATCATGAGAGGGAACAAAATAACAAAAATTTATTTAAAATATAAAATGCGATTAAAACTTTTGTTCAACAATTTTTACAAAGATAGAAGCATAAAAATTTTATATCTATGTTTAAAAAGTATTCAACAATTAATTTATTCACAGGCCATTAGTTAACATGGTGTCACTTGATTAGACATGCACATATTTATTAAACAAGAGACTAACTAAACTAGAAAAACGTATACTTGTCGTTCTTGTTATTTTACAAAATATGAATTGATTTAAATAATTCCTCAGGAATGTTTTATACATGAATAACACGCAGCGATTGATTATTTCAATAGTTTTTGTGCTACAATGTTAATATTTTTTTTTTTTTTATGATTCTGAAGTCACAGACTCCAAACATATATCACATGAAAATGATAAATAATTGTTGAAGTATTCAATTACATGACATAGTGATATAATATTCAGTCTCGTAGCTTTCATAACACAAATACCGGAAAAACAATTTTTTTCGCCTTTTTATTACAATTTATTCAGTTCAATGTTATTTATTTTCCGAGCAATCAGATGAATTTTTAGTCTATCTCGGACATCTAGTTCGTATTATGCAACGGTAATGCCAACTGTTTGAAGATAGCTTCTCAGGTGATTAGCATTAGGTTCTGGAATTTGGTCAAGAATACTAAGTAATTGTCTTGGCGACAATCTTGCAAGTCCTTGTGCTAAATGTAAACGTACATCACCAATAGCTGTTTATTAAAATACAATTTATTAGAAAATTGATTAAATTTTTAGTTAAAATATTATTTGTTAAAATATAATAAAATAAAATAAATTTAATAAAGAAATAAAATATTAAATAAATTTAATATAATAAGATATATAAAATTTCATAAATAATAAAATATTTTTATAATACCTTCCAGAGGATCTTTTGGAGGATTTCTTGCACAAAGTAACTGACTATATCCTACTTGATACCCAGGTGTATCTTCAGTTTCTGGCAATATAGTATCTTCAGGTAAAGAAGTCTGATCTTGTGGTAATTCAAAAAATTCTACTAATGTTGCTAATAAACGAGGATAGTATGTATTATATGGCCTTTCTAGCATTGCTGGACAATCAATTAGTAAATTTGACATTCCAACTGCAGTAACTTTTCGTTCAATATCACCTGTTACCTTTTGCATATCTGCTATTAATACACGTTCTACAACCATGCCAAACATTCTGAAATAAAATAATTATAATATATTAATTAGTTTTAATTATGATTATTTTATCGATTTTTAATATAAAAACAACTTACCGAGATTGTATTTGATCTATAATTGTAACCAAATTATTGGAACCATATCTAATGATATAATATGCAAAAAATACAATTAAACCTTTAACAAATTTTGTCGTTTTTGATGATGAAAGTCTTTGAAATAATAATACGAATATTTGTTTCATATAGGGTTCTAATACATTTCTAAAAATGTTATAATATTATTAATACATATAATTATTTCCATAATATTTTTTTAAAATTATGAGAAAGAAATAATTTGATAAGAAAACTTACGGTGCAAAATATTCAATAATACTTTGTAATAATAAAAATCCTTCGTGATCATTGGCCTTTGAAGCAATCAATTTTTGAAATACACCTAACAAACCATTTGTTTTGTCTTGTGCTACTATATGATGTGCGCCATGACTAATGAACGCTCTTAATAATCGATTTAAAGGATGAATATTAGCTTGACGTTCAAATAATACTGATGATAATAAACAAGGAAATAAAGCCAAATATGCTTCTGGAATATCTTGAGTTGTTCGTAATTCCAGAAGTAAAGCAAGAATTTGAAAAAGATATGGTAGAAATTCTAAATATAAAAATATATATTAAAAATAAATAATATAATTAAATAACATAAATAATTTTATATTAAATAAAATATTTTACCTAAAACATCTTGCTGTAAAATTTCTTGAAAAATTGGGAACAGCGCTTCCTCAAATGATGAAACTGCAACTTTATGTGTTTTACAAACGATTCTAAAATTATATAAAATATATTTTTAAATTTTTTATTTATTAATTTATTTGCATTTTTTGTAATTTATACTTACTTAATTGATAAAGCAAAAGTTTCAAAGAGATAATGATTGAAATTAGGGCGACTTGGATTTTTAGATACCATAGCGAGTTTTTCTGTAAGTTTAGGTAGAAGATCTGCTAAGAATGGTACAATTATCTCTTGTAAAATACCAAAGCTTCTCATAATAGCTTTCATTACATATTCATTTTCTTCTGAGCCAGATATATTTAAACATGCAAATAAACCTTTCAATAAATCCGATGTCAATGGTGATAAATCATTAGCTTTAACTCTATAAATAAAATTTGATTAATTAGAAAACATACATATTAAGATCATTATATTACAATAGATTCCTGTAAAATACTATTAATATGCATTATATAAATTCACATTATAGGAAATCATGCTATATGAGAATTTTCTTCGTATATGAACAATAAAGTAATATCTATACAATATAATAAAGTAATATGAATGATTATTATTATATCAACTTCTTTATATTTTATGTTTTATCAAATAAGACAATTTTTAAAAATTAATAATATAAATGTTCTTAATTTAAAAAAAACGAGATATTAATTGTGTATAGGAAAACAGTATGTCATTATACAGCGCATTATACAGGAGCCTACTATATTATTAAGCGAAATATTAATTTTCTTACAAAAATAAATTATCAGGTCCTTTCATTGCAAGTATTTTTTCAATTGCACATGCAGCATATGTGTGAACAACAATATTTGAAGCACTTAAATGTCTAATTAATTGTGGTAAACTACCAATTATCATTTCTTTAGGTAATATCGATCTGAAGGTCATTATGAATTTAATTGCATCAGCTTTAAGTACAGGAAATTCGTTCACTGTAAATATTTAAAATTTTTTTATATAATATAATTTTTAACGAACAAATTTCATTTTACTAATATTATGTACCATTTGGTTTAATTAATTCTGGTTCAATATGTTGCATTGCAAATTGAGGTAATGGAACAAGTTCACTGCTTTGAGTAACACCATGTTTTTGTGTTTGAGCTTTGCTTGCACTACTGGTGACTAGATAAATTGCAGCATCTTTACTTCGCCAATTTTCAGCAGGTTTATTAGCATAATTTTGTAACATCACCTAAAAATTAAAAAAAACAAAAATGCAATAATGTATATAAATTATTTGTATATTTTTATTTACCTGTATATAAGCACCAAAAATTTCCATTATTTTTGCTTCAAAATATTTGGAAAGTACTTTAACTAAATCACAAGCAGCACGTCTTCGTGTATCAACATCACTACCTTCAATATCTCGTCTGATATATTCTTCGGGATTATCCTCAAATAATTCATTATCCGATTCTATTAAATATTAAATTTCTTTTTTATAAAAATACAATATATGTATGTGTATATATATATATATATAATATTAAGCATAAGTAAGTTCTAATTAAGCAACTTATAATAATTACCTCTAAATTCCATATTAGGTATTATAACTTTTTCGCATATACTACTCAAAGTACTAGGATCTTCAAATAAATGTCTATATTGAGCACGATCTGCTACTGTTGCTAAAAATTGCAAAGCATTCGATACTAACTGTAAAAAATATAAAAAATCATTAGAAAAATTTTAATATATCTAACTCATATTAAATTTACATACAGTATCATATTTTGGTTGCTGGCCAGTAGATGTTAGTAAATTCCACACAGCAGTTACAAACTCAGGTAAGTATGGTTGAAATTCTTCATCATATTTCTGAGCATAAAGGCCAATATTGTCACAAACTTGTGACTTTAATTGTTCAATTACTCCTGCTTCTTCTTCATCCTATATATAAACATTGTAATACATATATATATATATATATAATATTAGGAGAAAAAAATATAATAACAAATTTATATATAATAGTACAGTAGATTGTAGAGATGGTACATCTGTGTTCAATAAAATATGAAAATTCCTCATCCATGTAGCCATATTGTCTTCAAAAAATTCGGGTAAATCCTAAAAATAAAATATACATAATTTTAATAAAAAAAATTTAATATTTTATATTAATAAATGATTTCATCATATTTTACTCACTTGGAAATTAAGAGAATAAAATACTTTGGATAAAATTACCAAAGAACTATATATAATTTTTAATGCATCTACATTATTTGCATGTACTTGCATTAAATTCATTGTAGCCTAAAACAAAATTTAAAAATTTAATAAAACAGTTAATATATTGTAAAGAAAAAATTATATAATAAAATTCTTACAACAAACAGATCTGTCAAAGGTTTAGCAAATCTGTCTAAGACAAATTTTATCTCAGTCCACAAAGTCTGACTTTTAAATTCATATCTATATTTTTTAAATAATGAATGTGCAGTATGTAATACACCATTAATAACATGAAAATCTCCTGTATTAAATTTTTCAACCATTTGGTCTATAAGTTCTGGCCATTTATTTGGAAAATCATACTTTCCAACTATTGAAACAGCATCAGATAATTGTTTTTGAACAGAATCAGGAGAATGAAGCATTAAATTAACAATTAATTTTTTAATAGCTTCCCTATCTTGTGCATGTATACGATCTACAGAATCTTCTCCCTGCATATGAAAAAAATTATAAATATTACAATTATTTATTAATATTATAAATATAAAATTATTTATTAAAATAAGAATTATATTAATAAATAATATAATTAATTACCACTTTCCAATTACGTTTTATATAATTTTTAAATGCAACTGCACCAGCAATTCTAATGGTTATATTGATTTCAGATTTATCCACAAGATGTAAAAGAAGTAATGGATAATTTTGATTTACTTCAACTGATTCTAAAAACTTTTCAGCTAAAACAAAATAATAATTTATGAATTTATTTTATGATTTATATTATCTATAATAAAAATATGTTTTTTTCATAAAAGATTTATAAAAGAATCAAAACAAAAATACAATTTAAAAAATTACAAATATATTTATATAATATTTAAATAATGAAAAATAAAATATAATATAGATAAATTATCTTTAATAATAAATATAAATTTTAATAATTAAATATAATTATTTTTAATTATATATATATATATATATATATAAATTTTATAAAATATAAAAAGTTTCTTTAAAAAAAAATAATGAAATGGAAAGGATTTTTCTCCAGACGATTTTCGTTTTTTCTATAAACTCAATCGATACATATCTATTTTTAAAATTTATTAGTAGTAAGTTAACTGTTTTTTAAATAGTTGAAAAAAATTGAATAAAGTACTTGTTGATATCCACATGTCAAATTTATTACAAAATTAAATTTCAAATCATAATTAAATTTATTAAACAAAACGGTTAAATATTAATTATATTATGAATAACAATATATAGTGTTCGTGATTATATAAAATATTTTATGATGTTTCAACAAGAACTTTTATTAACAGAGAGGTTATATTCACCTGGCCGTCTAACATTTATATCTGGACTAAGTGTATGCTTTAGATATTCACTAAGAGTAAGCAAATTGTCATCCGTGAGTTCCATACTGACTTATTTTAAAAATGTCGTAAATCCACAATTCAAAAAAATATTAAATCTTCACAAAAAAATGTTGAAACAACGCAGTACCGGCTTTTGATAAATTCAATTTTCTAACCAATGATCGTTGTCGCCGTTGTTGGTTGGCGCTTTCTACAATGATTTACGCGGGAATATTTTTTATTGAAATGAATCGACTAATATATTCTATTTTATTTTTATGAATTATATCAATAAAAAAAATTATAAGTAAAAAAATTGTTGAATTTAATTGAAAATCGATTCATTTTACCTTATATTTTAAAGTTTATTTTGCATGATATTATATATCATATCATTTCATATTATACATTTCGATTATAATACAATTATTATTATTAATTTTTTATTAAATAAATATTTCGTATGTTTAAAAGATTTAAAAATATATATATATATATTTATTCTTTAATATTTATATATATAAAGATTCTAATTCACATTTTATAATAAATTAATATTTTATAATAAAATAACATTATAAGTATTGATAATTCACATATATATATATTAAACAAGTTTTAATTTTAATATTATAATTTTATTTATAATTATTTATATAATATAATTTATTATAATTTTATTATTATAATGTATCTCAATATTGCAACATAATATTAGTACCTAAATTATTTATTCTGAGAAGTTATTAAATATTTTTTTTTGTTTTATTTCATTTTCCAATCTTCTTAGAATATCTTGTACATGTGTAATTTGTAGTAATTTATTATTATTATTTCTCCTATATAATATTTAATAAATAATAAATAATAATTAAAAATATATTTATGAATTTCTAAGTATATAATAATTTTATTCATAATTAGTTCGCTTACATTATATTTATTAAAACAAGATTAATTTTCAATATTTCTTCAGTTTCTTTCTTAGAGTTTAAATCATTCAAATCACATAATGTTTCTAGTTTTATTACTTTTTCTTTAAGTATTGGTAATTCATTATATATTTTTTCGTATTTTTTTTGGAATTCTTGAATATCTTTGATTAAATTTTCGTTTGACTATGAAAGATAATGATTATTTTTTTGACAGATTATTTGTATATTATATAATATTATAATAATTCATAACTTAGAATATATGTAATTAAACATACGTATTCTTTTTGTGCGCGCAGAAAGTTATTTGTATATTTCATATCCATAATTCGAAATTTATCGCTAAATAAATTATTAATGATTATTAATGATAAAAAATAAAAAATTATATATGTATTTTATTTATATTTGTCATATTGATAATAAATTTATGCATGAACATGAAAACTATAATTAAACTTAAATTAAATGATTGTTTAAAATTTAGAAAAAGAAATACCATTGTTTCGTAAAATATATCGTTCTTTCTTTTGTTAAATTTTTTAATTCTTGTTGTTGAAATTTGATTATTTTTATAATCTCCGAAATTTCATTTCTAAGATTGGCTTCTTTTTTCCGTAATTCTAGATATTTGATTTGTCCTGCCCAAATATTCATAGATAAAGTAGAATAATGTGATTCCCAATAATTTCGAATTTTTTTGTATTTACAAATTGTTTCTTTCAATTCTGTAAACTTTCAAAAATAGAATGAGACATGTATTTTTGTATTATATAAAATATTGAAATTCAATTTTATTTAATTAAAAATAAACAGAGTAATAGATAGAATAATTTTAATAAAATTATTACTTTTTTAATTAAATAATTAATTCGATCTGCTTGATTATTGAACTCTTCATAAACTTTTTCAATTTTCTTGGAAGACTGAGACATATTTTATTGTTTTATTAATAATATTCGTTTTTTTCTTTTTTTTTTTCTTTTTATTCTTATATATATTGTATTTTATATTCTCTATGATTGTGGTAGAGAGAATTGCGTTTGTCGAGACCTCTATTGAGAAAACATGAAATTACACGTGTTATATTTATAGATAAATGTAAAGTACTTAAATTAAAATGTTTATCTTCATTATGATATGAGAATTATTACAAATATTTTTTAAAATATATTTTATATACATATATATAAATTGATCCTTGAATTTTAGTTATTTGAATTTAATTTTTTTTTAATGTTATTAATATATTATATTTATTTAAATAATTAATTTCCTAATTAATGTTAGTTTCTTAATGTAGTGTATTATATTTATTCAAGTAATTCATTTATTTTATAACAAAAATTAAAATTAGTCACTAATGAAATTACATCTTTGTTTATGTTCGAAAGATATAACTATTGGAATGATGCAAATCACAGCATTGTACCAAACTTGTCAAACAATCGAAATAACGTTTCGTCGTGCGATCATTAATTAAAACGTCTGCGTCATCAGACGAACACTATTTATGAATATGAAACTATGCATCATTCTAAATATGGGAAACGTGTAATTTAGAATTTTAATTTATGTACACCATAAAACGATCATTCTCAGCAGGATATTTTAAATTTCGTTCCAATCAGTAAGTATAATTAATTAATAAGTATAATAATAAGTTAAAATATTAAATTAAAAATATTTTTTTTTTCAATAAATAAATGTTTCTTTTTTAACTCACATTAAAAATCAAAATTACAATACTTATATAGGATATTTTTTTGATTTTCACATGAGAATATAAAAAATTAACGCTATAATATAAATTATATAAATAATTTAATTACATTAATTGATCATTATAATTAATTTATTAATAATTTTAATCATTATTTTTACAAAAGAATAAATATGATAATAAATTTATATGCTAATAAATTTATTTAAAATAACAATAATATAAAACAATATTAATATAATTCAATATCATTAAAAAATCATAGGAATTTATTGTTCAGTAACGTATGTTCCTATTTTTCGAGACAAGTATAGAGTATAGAGTAATTGACAACGTTTCAGTTTACTCGTAAAACGCGTCGGTGATGTTTCATAGTCGGTAAGTAGTCGTCGCGCGAACTGCGTTCACGCAGCTTTTAGTTGCTTGTAATCTGTAAGGGAATTTCTTCAATTGACTTGACTATTTAAAATTATACAATAAAAAGGAAATTGTTATTCTTAGACGGAATTTTAATGTTGGCCAATCATATTATTTTTCATCAAAATCTTTCTCATTTTAGGTGAGTCATTGATATTGCTTTTAAGATTATTTTTTTTTATAACATATAAATATATATATATATATTTATATATATATATTATATTTTTCAAAAAAATTATATTTTGAATTAAGAAAGAAAATTCGTTAGAAAAATTTGAAAAATTGTTGTTTTGTAAAATTTTCGAAAAAAGTTTGATTTTAATATATATATTAATTTTAAATATGTGTGCAATCATTTGGAACTTATGCTACATAAAGAATTTTGTTATAATTCATTTTTATAATTTCTTTCGTTTCTTTTTGTTTTTACTTGTTGAATTACATAAAAATTACAATTTGTCTTGAAATTAGAAAAAACAGAAAATGCGAACATAATAGCAATTATATATTATATGACGAAATTATAGTAAATTTAAATAAATTTAAATAAAAAATCAATTAATTTTTTTAATATTATATTAAATCACAGAAAAAGAAAATTACATTTAAAAAAATTGTTTCTATTTATATTGACGAGAGAAATTATTTTTTTATAATAAAAAAATCATAAATCATAAACATTAAAGTTATGGCTCACTATATGTTATCAAATTTAATGCATTTCAAATTGCATTAAATTGTAAATAAATTGTAGCATAAATAATTGAATATTTTTATTTTTTAATAATTTATATATTATTTATATATTATGATCATTGTATTTTACTTACACTAAATTTTAACGTAATTAATGAAATTTCATCGAAATATCTAGTGATAAGGATCATGGTTTGATAACGTTATCATAATCTTTATCAATACGGGAAATCAAAAACTTTATCATTGTTGTTTTGAGCTTATAATTATAAGAATTGCATTAAATATAAAATAATCTAAATAGAATATTTTTTAATAAAAGTAAAATGATTTTTGTATGTATTTCACATTTGAAAATTTTATTAAACAATTATGAGTAATAGGAAGTACTATGAATGCAATTAATTTATAGTACGAACTATATGAATTCGTGCTTATAATATGAAACAGGATGAGGATTGATAATTTAGCAGGAACTGACACTATTTCATTTTATTGCAAGAAAAAAATAAGAATTAAATTCTTGTCAAACTTTATTAGAATAATAATAATTTATTATAATACTTGTTGATAACCTATCAAATAATGTTAATATTTAAACTAAATTTAAATAATATTTAAACTAAAGTTTCGAAAAATAATAAAAAATAAACATTAAAATTAATGCTATACTACTAATTTTTAAAAATTATATATTTTCTTATTAAATTTCATATTTATTATATATTATATATTATAATTAGAAATTATATATAATATTTCATTTTTAAATTCATAAAATTTTAAGTTCATTTATGAAAAAAAATGCTATAATGATTAAAAATATTTCATGAAAAAATTTATTTGATAGAGATATATATATAGATATATACTGTAAAGATAAATTTTCAATGTACGTCATTGTTAAAATACATTTTTTTATATAAGACAATCGTGTCATAGAAAACGATGTACTGTAGTTTTTAATTACGCGCCTTTGAAGGCCTAACACAAGCACACAGGTTCACGAACAGTTAGATTATGTCATCGCTACTTTATTTGCGAGTCTCTAACCTATTTACATAAAAGTCTTACTTCTCTCATTGCGAAGGAGAAAGGTAAATAATTGAATCTTTGAGCCAGAGTGGGATAACATTTTGTAACAGAAATAAACATTTTAATTATTATTTTTTATCATTAATTTAATTATTTATCTATAAATTGCAATTTTACTAATTATATGATTGATCGATATTTTAATCGATTTTAGAAATATTAATAAATCAATTAATAAACATTCTTATAAATTTTAAATTTAAGAATAATATTAAGGAAAATAATTTATACGTTTAAAAAGATTATATATGTAAAAAAATAATTAATAAAAAATAATACATAAAAAATAAAATAATAATAATAAAAAAATAAAAAATATATTTTATTACTTTATCTATTTTTTTTTTAATAATATTTTATTCATATTTCTGAATTTTATTCGTTTTTTAAAAAAATTCTATATATTTTATAAAATTTAAAAAATTAAAAAATATAAGATTTAAAAATTTATTACATTAAATTATTTTATTTATTTTAATTTCTATTTTCATTTTATTGAAATTATATAAAACAAATTAAAAAATATTTTCTTTTTTTCATTCAAATATATCATTCAAAATAATCATTCAAAATATAGTATACAATTTATATATTTATAATAGAATATAGAATTAAAACAATATTTAAATTAGTTTCCTCATAAATTATATTTTACTTTTTTTAGATGCATAAATATTATGGATTATATTAAATATGGATTTATATTAAATATAAATATTAATATATTATGTATTATGTATTACATCAAATTATATGTCAAAATATCTATGCTTGAATAATTAAAAATAAATTATTTTATTTTTTTTCTTTGAATAGAATTAATGTTAAAATATATGATCGTAATATATGTTTTATTTTTAAATTTTTATTTATTTAGGAACTCGGTTTCCAAAATTAATAAAAAAATGGAATGCGGAAGGAAGGGCGTGGTTAGAATTATTTGATTGTGTCGTGTGTTGAAGGCACACCCTCAATCTACCTACGCGTGCTACCCACCTTTTTGTCTGACTGTAATTTTCTCATATTTCGCGATATCATCAACCTATTCTTCCCTTACATAGTTACTGCAAAGTTACACCATTAGTATTACTAATGTAGATTATCATTTTTATTATTTATAAATTAAATAATGATTTAAAATAATTCGTTCCCCCCGAATAGATATTATATGAGATTATATGAGATTATATAACTTATTTAATAATATTATTTTATTATTAAATTTAATTTTCCATAAAAATTTAGCCAATATTAGAAATATTTATTAATTTTTATTTTAAAATTTATAATATTTTTTTATAATAATTATAATTTGATAAACCGTAATATTTCTAATTATTATAGATCACATTTTAATTATTTATGTAATATATTATAAATAAATTTTTATATGAAACTTCATGATTTTATTTTTTCTAAAAAAATAATAGTGTCATTGACAGGAAAATAGTATGATGACCTCAGTTTTATACTATTTTGATTGAGTAATTTCATAAATTAGAAAATATAATTCCATTGTTTCAATTAAACAAATATTAACTGTAATGTGATTCCAGTGAATCAGACGGAAAATATTTTATGGTTCCATCTTAACCGCATTGATATGAATATTGATTAAAAATTGCTTCGAAATGTTATATTACTGAAGCACAGAATATATTATAATCTTAAAAAATTTTTCATTTTTTTAATTCTAGTTCTATAGTTATTCAAATGTCTTGCAATAATTTGTTTAATATTAATTCAAAATTAAAAACTTTTTCATTTATACATTATTAAATAATAAAAAATTTTATTCTAAAAATTATTAATATAACTAATTTTATTCTAAATTTTATATAAATTTTATTTTATGTAATCTATCTATCTTTTTATGAAATCATCTTCTCAATTATAAGAATTTTGAAATCTGTCTTGAAAATTGTATTTTTATTTTTCATTTTTCAAAATTAATATATGAAATATAACAATCTTCTATTTTATTAGCATTTATATATTAGCATTAATCATTAATTTTTTTTTAAAAGTTTTACGTTTCAGATCAACGTATGCATATCATTGAGTCGTATTGATATAAATTATCACAAAACTATCAATTTCTTTCTCGTTTTTCTACAGTTAAATAATGTAACGGATAATGAAATTGGCCGGATGACAAAAGATAAATACTAACACCGACTGCTGATAAAAACGCCGCCAAATTAAACGGAAGACTAAGAATAAATATAGTGGACTCGTAATCATTGAATTTTATTCATGCGCGCAATGTGCAGTAACAATAAAGGTAAATAATAAATGAAAAATTAATTTAAATGAATAAAAATTTTATTTTAGAATTATTTAATTTAATTCAATAAATTTTAATTTAAAAAGAAAAGACTAAAAAGTTACGAAGAATTGTAATAAAATATTATATATAAAGATTAATTTTTTTTTTTTTAAAATAGACCGGAAAAATAAATATATATTAATATCAAAAGAAAGATGTAATGAACAAAAGCAGGATTAAATAATGTATAAAAGCTGAAAGAAATTATAGTGAAAGCACATAGAATAGAAAGAAAAGAAATGACATTGATGATTCAAGATATATAGTGGCAAAGGCATGCATTTTGAAAACGCACGAACACAGCATACATATGTGATTCAAGCAATATATTATAAAATAGTATAAAAGTCATGCACGTAGAAAATGCAAAAATATATAAAAAAAAAATAAATTTTATTAATTTTAATATATCATATCATTATATTATTTTAGTTATATATATATATATATATATATATATTGCATTTACTTACAAACAATTTTTACTTTAGAATTGTATGTTAATTTTATAATAAAGATTTCTGCGACATAAAATTAATAAATTTAAAAATTTATCATATTTTATAAAATTATTTATAATTTATATAAACAATATAAATTCTGATAATTTTTAATATAATATGATAAATAAAAAAATATAAAAAATATAATTTTTGTTTTGTATAAAAGAACCATTTAATTTTTTATTCTTATAAATTTTAATTATAATAAATTAATATAACTATAGCATTAATTTACTTGTTATAATAAAATAATAAGCATAGTACCTTTCAATCCGAATTAATATGCTATACAACAAACAATGACAAGGATAGCCTTGATATAAGCTCGCCGGATATGTTAGTTATTTTTTTTAACAAAACTATGAAATTCATAATTTTTTTTTCTATTTTTTTTTTAATGTTTTTCTGATATCTCTATTTTTTAAAAATTCATTTCATTTTATCATAAATAAATAAAAGTTAAATAATTTTTTCTTTTTCTTTTATATTTGATTAAATGCATATTTTAAAAACAAATAATAATTGAATAAAATAAAATAGAAATTTATTAAAATTAAAATTAAATCAATATTATTTCAATGATTATTTTAATTATTATTTCATATAATATAAATGAGTTTCTTTTTTATTTTTTTCAGAAAATAAAAATACGATTTCCAAACATAGACCAATAAAAGTTACAACAATTGGTGATGGAACTGTCGGCAAAACATGTATGCTTATTACATATACAACAAATGAATTTCCTTCGGAATATGTACCTACTGTGTAAGTAAATTTAATTTGTAAATATAAAAATGATAAATTTATTTTTTATTATTTTTTATTAAATTATAATTTATAAAAAATATTATATAAATAAAAAAAATTAGTGTGAAAATTTTTTATTATTTATTGATTTCATATTTACTTTAAAACAAAAAATGATATTTATATCTGTTCTTAGTTTTGATAACTATGCAGGAACGATACATGTAGATGGACAGGAATTTGATATGACTTTATGGGATACTGCTGGTCAAGAAGATTATGAGCGAATTAGGCCTTTATCTTATCCAAATGTGAGTCTTTGATTAATTATTTATTTCATTTTATCTATATTTTTAATTAATATGTAAATTATAACAATTTACCATTTAATTTTATTTTCAGACTGATTGCTTCTTGATCTGCTTTTCAGTGAATTCTCGCACTTCTTACGAAAATGTTGCAAATAAATGGCATCCAGAAATTAAACATCATTGTCCAAATACACCTATAGTTCTAGTTGGTAAGTTAAATCCAAACTTATTAAATCCAAAATAATTATTAATTTAATTATAAATTAAATAGTAAAAATAATCATATAAAAATAAATCATATAAAGTAAATCTTATTTTATATTTCTTCATAAAATTTTAATTAAACATAATATTAAATTATTATTATTATTAATAATAGTAATAGTTATTATTATTTAATATATAATAAATAAAAATAAATTTCATTAAAGATAAAAAAATTAAGATCAAAATATCAGAATTTAATAAAAATATTCTTTTTTTAATTATTAATATTTTAATATAACTCATTTTATTTCAATATTTGAATTTTTTCTTAGCATTAAACATTGAATATATTAAATATATTGAATAATTTTTTTATAAAATTCTCTATTATTTTAAATTTGTAATATTAGAAAATTAATATTAATAGATATAAATTTTTTAATTATTTTTATATTTTATATTTATATACTTAGGTACTAAAGGAGATCTTAGAAATGCAGAAAATGTTGATACAATTACCTTTAAGGAATGCAAAAAAATGAAAAAGAAAATAAAAGCTTATAAATATGTAGAATGTTCTGCTTTGAAACGGGAAAACTTAGAAGAAGTTTTCAATGAAGCAATTCGGGCAGTATTGAAAAAACCATCTAGTAAACTTTGTTGTTCATTTTAAAAAATTAAATTATAAAATATTTATAATTAATTATTAAAAAATATTGACTTATTATATAATAATTTTAATTTCAAAAAACATATCATTCCAAATATATTTTTAAAGACAATTTTCCTATATTTTTTAATATTAAAAATTAGAAATGATTGATGATAATAATTAACAAATTTCAAAAAGTGTAAATATTTTAATGTTTATTATACAATTAAGTAGAATAGAATATAGAATATTGTTAATAAATAAGAATTTATTTTTTAGATATTATTATTTATTTAACAAAATTTTTTGAATGAAATAAAAATTAATTTTTTATAATATATTTATATAATATTTCTTATTAAAATATTCTTTTTATTTTGTAATAGAAATGAATTAAATTAAAAATAAAATTGCCAGCATTTATCATGTATAGTCATTTATAAATAATTTTTACTTATATTTGATATTTATCCTTATTTACTATGTACAGCTGTTACAATTATTTATTTTAAATATCATATTATTTATCATTAAATGCAATTAGACACTATTATAATTCTCTTATACATAAAAAATTTTATGTTGAGAAATAGTCACATTCATAAAATTTTAACGTCCAAAAGTTCCATCCGAAAGAGGAGTTACTTTTTGTTGTATTATTTTACCATAACCTCCTCTCCCACTATCAAAATCTGATCTATATTCATCTCTTACCTATAATAATATAATTTGTTTTGTATAATATTTATAAAATATATAGTGTAGTACAAAATAAAATATAATTATTATATAAAATTATTTACTTGTCCTCCAGTTTTTCCTCTTCCATATTGTCTGCCTTCAATAAAACCAGCATCCCAATCAGTTCTAATTATTCTATCATCTAAACGTGTTCCATTAATATATCTCATACAATTTTCTGCATCAACTCTTTGATAATATTCAACAAAACAAAAACCACATGGTGTTTTTTTATATTTGTCTAGTCCCATAATAATTCTTCTAATATCACCGCACTTTGAAAATAATTCATATATTTGTTCTTCTGTAGTATAAAATGATAAATTTCCAACATATAAAGTTGTAGAATTTCTTAATAATCTGTCTTGTTCAGCTCTTGAACCCTGTAATCATTATTATGAAAGAATATAATATTATGATTAAAGAATATTAAAGAATTTGGACTTACAAAGTCCAATATAATATTACATTATATGATAAAATAAATATAAATATTTTTTTAAAATAAGAAAAAATTGATAGTTTAAAAATTGAATCTAACCTTAAAATGTTGATCGCGATACGAACTTAATTCAACAGAAGGTGAATTTGATGGATTTAATTTTATTGTTGCCATTTTAAATATTTTAACAAATCTTTTATCGATTTTATCACCTCCTTCAACTTTTCTTTGTAAGTCCAAACATTCGATTTTATTTAATAATACTAGTAAACATTATTGAACGCATATAAAATATTAAATATTCTTGAAACATCAAAACTGCCATCTATCCATAAAAAAAGTAAACGAATATCGAAATTATACGATTTGACATTTTAAATTAAATTCAATTAGGATTATTCATCATCAATAATTCTCAATGTAATTAATAACATTTTTATCTAAAACACAAATTAACAATTTTGATAATCAAAATTAAGTTTAGATTTCAAGAAAATAAATATATTCAGTAAAATATTATAAATTAAAACTTAGCATCAAATCTCAATTGAAAATTTATAATCATGTAAACATTAAAATATGCGTGTCAATTTACAAATTTAAATATTTTTTTAAAAAATTATGATATAGTGTTACCTTTCTTTCAAATAAAATATCTGTGTTGCAAATGTCATTATTACGATTTTCCAATAATTGCGGAAATGAAAAATTTTAAATTATAAATTTTTCTGGGCTCAATTAAATTACGGAAATTGATTATATTATATAATGCATATAAAAAGATATATTTGAAATATTTGAACATTTTTAAAAATATTTCTATGCTTTTAAAATGAGTGGTAAATTAAAAATTTCTGTTAGTTCATGCGAAACTGCAATTTCTAATTCGTCAAGAGTCAGTTCTAATACCAAAACTAAATGTTGCCAATTATTTTTAAGTTGTTTTAAAATTAATCGTAAAAAAGAATCTTTAGAAGACATCGTGGATGATAATATTAAAGAATATGATTATATTGTTGAAAAACTCGTCGTAAAACGTGTGCCTTTTGTTCTTTTCTCAATGCCAAAAAATGTCTTGGAAAATAATTCTGAGACTAAAGATAATTTCAATAAAGAAACTCCACAATCACAAACAAAATTAACTACTATGTATTCAACTGCATCTGAAACTCAATCATTATTATATTATTCCGATAGATTTGATCAAAATATGTCATTGGACATTTCTAATAAATGTTCACATCCTGATACAAATAGAGCTTTATTGAATGAAAGAAATAGAAAACATACATTCTCTGATAATTATCATACTAGAATAACTGAATTGATGAATACCTTAAGTAGTCTCCATCCAAATTTGAAGGAAGAAGAAAGACCACCAAAAGATCCATATCCTTTAAATATATCACAAAATAAAAATATTTTATCTACAAAAATGTCTCTCAAAGAATTTTTAAATAAAAATAATGAACATCAAATGAAACAGGCATTCAAATCACAAACTTTTGTTCAAGAACCATTTTTAAAGAAAAGAGGTTTATATTTTTTATGTATATATATAATTATATATATAATTTTTACATATAACTTTTACAAAAAACTGATAATAAGTTTGATATTGTTTCAGAATCTAGAAATGTAAATTGCTCTGAAATTAAGTCAAAAGGTGATAAAGAAATTTATTGTTTAAATCAAATGAAATACATAACATTGGATGATTTTCAAGATAATTGTGCTTCTATTGAAAAACCTATTATTCAATCTGTTCATAAAATATCTTGTAATTCTACAAATTTTGTAAAATCAATCATTAACACAAATCAAATGAATACAGAAGATTACAAGTCAATTAATAATCATTTGCAGTGGAATCATCAATCATTAATAAATCAGTCTAACACATTATTGGAAAATATTAAAAAAACTGATACATCAAAAATAATATTAAGATGGAATATCATTTTAAAGCATTATAAATCAAAAACATACTCTTCTAAAACTTCTCAAAAATTGAGTAAATATTTTAATATAAGTTAACAAATACAAGTCATAATTAGTTTCATAATAAACAAATAAAAAATTTTTAATTTTGTATGTTTATTTTATCATTAAATTTTTTATTTTTTTGCTTCAAAATATTAAATAAGAAATAATAAAAAAGAAAATAAAAATATATTTTCTGTTTTCTATTCTAATTCTTTGTTTTCTCTAATCTAAATTGATATATACTAGTGCTTTTATTTTATAAGATTTTAAAAATCTGTAAAATATTTCAAAAATATAAAACTTTAAGTTTTACTTTTAAGTAAGTTTTGAACAAATGAATTTTAAGACTGACATTTTTGAATTTTACATATCAAAATCTATATAAAAATATAAAAAGAATCCAAAATTTTTAAATTTTAATATTCAAACCAGAGTTTAGCCTTTGTTAGTTACTTTTAATTATATATATAGTTAGTTACTTGTATCTAAATTATTTATAAATTATAATACTTATGACTAACAAAATATATTTAAATTCAAATATTAAATTATTTAATTATTCAAATTAATTAAATCAATTTGATTTAACAATAAAAATAATAAAAAAATTTTCTACTCTACTAATAATTCACTAGCAATTGTTAACCAATAGTTGGAATTCCGGCATGTCACGTGAACAGTTTTGTTTACCTTGATTGACTTGATCCATTAATTCACATAGGAAATCTATGTTATTAGACGAACAACTTCATTTAGTGTAATAATTCTAGATCTGTATTATCTAATAGTTATTTATGAAATAAGCAGAATATAATAATTTGTTTTTAATTTCTTTTGGTATTAATAAAATCAATTAAAATGGTAAATGAAGTAAAATACTATATAAATATTTTTAAATACAAATGTGAATATTGATATCATAACCTCATGAATGTAAAATTTAAATTTAATAAGCGTTGAACAAATTATATAAAAAATTTTTGATATTGTTTTTAAAATTTTTTTGAATATTTTAATAATTATAATAAAAATTTCAATAGAGAAAATATAATTCTTAAAATTTTTTTTATTCTTAAAAATTAAATTTTTCATTATTTTTAAATTAAATTAATATTTATCATATATTGTTAAACTTATTAATTTTTGTTAAAATTATATTAATTACATACATTTTTTTTTCAGACGATTGGTAAAAACAATAAAATGCTACAACATATCAATTATAGAGTCAGAATTATTTTGCAAGATTCAAGGACATTCATAGGCACATTTAAAGCCTTTGATAAACATATGAATCTTATACTTGGTGATTGTGAAGAATTCCGTAAAATTAAACCAAAAAATACAAAACAACCAGAGAGAGAAGATAAACGTGTATTAGGCTTTGTACTCTTAAGAGGAGAAAACATAGTTTCTCTCACTGTAGAAGGCCCTCCACCTCCAGAAGAAGGATTACCTAGAGTACCTATTCCTGGTGCAGCACCTGGACCTGGTATGGGTCGTGCTGCAGGACGTGGTATGCCTGCCAATGTTGCTGGAGTACCTGCTGGTTTACAAGGTCCTGTCAGAGGTGTTGGAGGTCCTTCACAACAAATAATGACTCCTGGAGGTAGAGGTCAAGTTTCTGCACCACCACAAATGCATCCAGGTGCTCCTCCACGTATGCCAGTTGGAGGTCCTCCACCTGGAATGATGGGTCCACCACCAGGCATGATGGGTAACATTTTATAGAATTTTGTTTAAAGGATATTTACAAAAAATTAATTTTTTTTTATATTTAAAAAATTTATTGTTTATAGGAATGCCACCAGGAATGCCACCTATGGGACGTGGAGGTCCACCAATGGGACCACCTGGAATGAGAGGTCCACCTCCAGGTATGATGCGTGGTGGACCACCTCCTCGTCCATATTAATACCTTTTAATATACTACAATGTTGTAACTAATGATAATAAAAATCACTTTTATAATATTATTATTGTTTTCATATTTTGATATAAGTACATAAGATAATTACAAGATACAGCTGTTATACATATTCTTAAATCCTTATTAAAAGAAAAAGGAAATAGAGCAATGAAAAATATATAATTGGGAAATAATTCTTATTTTTGTAGAAATATCAAAATTATACAATCATATATGTAATAAACTGCAATAAATTGAAATATATGTAATATTGCACATTTTTTTAATTAATAGATTTAATTTTTGTGTAATAATTATTTATGAACAATAAATATATGAATGTTAATTTTTTACACAAATATTTATTATATATTTCAGCCATTCCATTAAAAATTCAACTCATAAATTAAGCTTACATTTAAATTTCTTCATTAGATATTATAATTCTTAATTTTTAAAGTTTACGAAAATTTATTTTTTTTAAATTAATTTTTTTATTTTTTAAATTAATACAAATTTTTTATTTTGAATAAATTATATTTAATTGTGGAATAGCTGAATATTAAAGTTATATACAGGAACATTTTATTAAATGAACATTATGTTCTTCTAATGACTTATATAAATAATTTATAATTTAGAAATTTATCATATTTTTTAATTTATATATTTTTTTTAACGAAATTAAAATTTTTCTTATTTTAAAGAAACGTCCACATTTATCATTATTTTAAATTTACATTTCTAAATATTTTATTAATAAGATTCATTAAGTCATTTCTAAAAACCTAAAATCAGAATCAATACAATCATTTTAAAATTTATGATTTTTAGTACTATAATATTAGTAATATGATTTTATAGTACTATACATATAAGGTTTACTTAACATCCTACTTAGATCTTTAAAGATTTTGTTTATATCTTACATGCATTATGTTAATGATATAAAGCGTGAGCAAATGTCAGAATCATAAACTTTTCTATTTAACGTATATATGTATATCATATGTGCAAAATTTCGTTGCGTGCTCGATTTGGCTGCAACAATAAAAAATATGTAATATCAGTTTTAGTAATTACGCAAAAAAGAAATTCTACGTTTATTAAACATTACTAATATTTTTTAAAATCTGATTACCTAGCAACTTCAAAAAAAGAGATTATTAAATGTAAAATTAGTTTTTGATTAGGTACATAGTAATTAGTACCTTAAAATGCAAAATAGATAATATAATACTAACTATAAATGAAATTTTCTATTAATAGCATTTTTTAGAAAAATATATGAATTATAATGTAATTTAATAACGTATTCAATGTTATTTAATATATTAATATGATTTACATAATTATATCATTCTTTTTTTTTCATTTATCTTTGTAAATTTAAACACAAAGTAATATAATATGACTTAATGAATATATTTATACAAAATTTGAGAGAAACTTAAATAATATGAATATTAAAATTATTGTCAGTAAGGAATTACATCATACAAAATATAAAATTATATCTCATCGAATTAAACTATATAGTTGAAAATTTTTTATAATATCTTGATATACTTCATAGATTTGTTGTTAAAATTTATTGTTAATATAATAATTAATAGATTTCTTTTATTAAATGAATGATTGCCAATAACTTATAAATTTGGCACATATCAAATATATTATAAATATTTAAACAAATCATTTTTCCATATTTCTTATTAAATGAATATTAATTTTATAAATTAATTAAATTACAAGAAATTTATTTTTTTAAAAGAATTAAAATCTGTTAAAGATTAAATACACAGGAATATATACAACATATTTAGTCTTTCTTTATTAAAATTTGTTTTAAGTAATGCATATAGCAAGAATTTTTTAATAAATTATTATGATTATAAATTTTAATATAATTTTGTAAATTGAATTATTCAATATTTTCAAAATTAATAATTGTAATTCTAATTCTATGTTCCAGTATTTATTTTAAAATACACAATATATTTAATAAGGATGGAAAATTAAAAAAAATTATTCAGATCAAATGCAAAACTTGTCGAAAATAATTTAAACAATATAATAAATTATTTAGATAAAAAAATATAAACGACATTTTGTGATGTTATAAAAAAATAAAAGTAATACTAAAACGTGAAAACCATCAAATAGGATTTCATCGATTTACCTTATATATTTACATTGCAGTTTGAATTTGAAAATATTTGTTTATTTTTTGAATATTTCATAGGATCTCCATATATAATTCGTTAAATAAAAATGTATATTTGCATACATATTTTTACTTTCCTTAAAGAGAAAAATATGAATTAATCGCAGCATAAACAATAACAAAATATGAAGTACGTTTTAGAAAATAATTTTTAAAAAATTAAATTTATAAAGTGATAATTCTCTGCCTTCTTCTTTTTTCTTTTTTTAAATTACTAATAAAAAAAAATTTTAATTTGTTATGCATGCGTCAATTTTTATTCATTTGTAAGAACTTTGCAAATAGTGTTTAATTCTATTCAAGAAGCATATATTTTTTTGGGGTATATTTCAATTCGCAAAATAGTTTGCACATAAAACATATTATTAATTTACAATGAACAATTTACAAAAAATCTTTAAAGTAATTATAAAGTTAGTTGATGGTATTACATGCGCTTTTTAACACAACAATTTCGTATTACATTTCGATAATTTCAAACTGACCTGTGTGTCTCATCTTTAACAGTAGTAATTACAGCATCGGTTTTTACAATTAGCTCTTTATCCTGTACATGTAAATCACTGTTACTTGGTTCCTTTGAAAGAAGAGCATTAGTATTTTGTATCACAGTCTTAGATTCAGAGGTAAGAACATTAGATGATTCAAGGAGATGAGAGAGTGCCTTATTTTTTTCCAGAACATCCTGCCGAAGATTGAACATAATCGTATTACCAGACTGAAAATATAAAATTTGTATTGATATTTGTATTGTATTGATAATTGATAAATATCAATTTTTGTTTCTTTTTATTTATATATATATTTTTTATTATAGATATTACTCAATATTTAAATGTCAAATTATCAAATTTTATATTTTATAATTAAATATAAACTTATAATTAGAAAAATCTATATAATGCCATAAAATATTGTTTATTTCAAAAAATATACAGATATTAATAAATTATTATAAATTTGTAAAAATATAGTTATTACCTTTATATTGGATGTTATAGATTCTGTATGAGACGAGTTTGTTGTGGATAATACAGTTAAACCTTGATCTCCATTATTCAACGTAACGTGACGCGGTACTACATTAATGGAGGTGTTATGTTGACTCGTGACACACAAACTTTTTCCACCCATTATTACTTTTCCTAATACTTCCTACAATATATAAAATTACATTATTGTTATATTTAAAATATAAATCACAATAATTATTATTTTATAGATTATCATACCTTGCCTGCTTGAGAAAGAGTTACACCTTTGGTTTGACCCTTTTGTATAACAATCACATTTGTCTTAGATCCTAACTTTGTATCAGGATGATGAGATATATTTACAGTTTTATTAGAATTTAATGTAACACCCTAAAACATATAGATATCATATTTTTATATTCAAATTCAGTATTTTTATAACAATATTTATATATAATTATTTTTTTTAATTGTACCATCTTGGCAGTGGTTTGATTATTGAGCGTTGTAGGTAATTTTTTACAAGTTAACGTTGTTATCTGCTTAGCTTGAGGTGGTCCTGGTCCATTAGAAACTGTTGTAACAGGACAAACAGTCATCAATCGATGTGAATTACCTAAGAATAATTCCAAAAAAAATAAATTATATAATTATGATTTCCAAATTAAATGATTGATTGAACAACACTCACTTGAAGTAATAGTTTTAGTTATTGGAGATTTTACATTAGAATGTATTACTGGCACAATACGTTTTGTATTGCTTGTAATTGAATTTGAATTTTCTGAACATGATGCTTTTTGTAAATTATGAGATATAGATGATATTTTAGGACCTAAAACATTATGAAAAATTAATAGAATTAAAATTCAAGTAAATAATATGTATATTCTAAAAAAAATGCATTCTTACTTAAATTATCTTGTATAGATATATCTTGTATATCAGATTGAAAATTATTTCCTGATGCACATGATACATTGCCAGACACTAAAATTGCTGGTCCAATTTTTGTATTAAGTTTATTTTGTGTTGTAATAATTCTTCCTTTAGCTTTTGTAATATTTGTTGTACCTATTGGGATTACTGTATTCATAAAATTACTAGATGAAATTACCGAATGATTACTTTCACTGTCTTGCACTGCTAATTCCTTAGATTCTGAATTTAATATTATTGAATTAAAAAATTTTTAGTTTAGAAAAAATATATCACTTATAATTAAAAATAATTACCTGAATCACTTTCTCCACAATTAATATTTAATGGTATTATAGTGACATTTTGATGCTGTAATGAATTTGTAGGCATTCGTGATAAATGAATAGTATTTTCAAATGATCCTTTATCAGTAGTACCATGATTAATAGCTCCTATTGAACTTGAAGATACTACCAAAACCTACATCAAATATAAAATTATTAAATGTAAAATTATTTATTTTTATTTTTTAGCTTTTATTTTTTAATTACTTTATTTGGAAGTGTTGGTGAAAGAGGAGAAGAAGGTTTACGTTTTTCAGAAACAATATATTTTTCACTGCCATCAGAGGTATTGCTTTGATTATTAATTTCCTTATTCCTATCTGATTCAGTAACCTATGATATAATACATAAAATAATTAAAATAAAATTAAAAATATTTTTGTCATATAAATAAAAGAATAATTTAAATTAATAATAACCTCAGTTAGAACATTTTCATCACTTAACTTATCTTTATTAGATGCAATCTCATGATTATTAAAAGAGTTTTCTTGTACTTTAATCTTCAAGGGAGATTCATTTCTAATATCTATAGAAACAAACATAAAAGTAATGAATTCTTTCTAATATAATTATTATGCATAAAAATATTAGTTGATTAAATCTGCTTAACTTACAGTTCTATACCCATACACTATTTTATATAGACTAAAACCACACATTTACCAAAATAGATAATATTTTTCCTTAAAACCTTTTGCATCCTCTGTTTTCTCGTGAACAGGAAGATTCCTTTTGTTTGCTGCTACTGTTGCAAGGGATAAACTATTTGCTAATGTTGTGAATGCCGATCGAGCCTTTAATCTTGGCAAAAGTGGAATAGCACGACGACCTTCAATAGTCCAATCAGTACCAGTATTTGGACCATTTAATCTATATAACAATAGTTCATAAAATAAAAATAGTTTTCAAATATAAAATATAAAATTTAAAAACACATTGTCCATGAAATAAATCAAATTTGATTTATAAATTTGATGACTATCTTAAAAAAAAAAATAGACAATTATATATTTAATATAATAATTAATAATATATTTAAAAAGTAATATTTTATATAATAAAATTCATATAATTATTTTGCTATTATATATATGTCACCTAAAATAATAAAATATTATATCGATTATGTAATAATTATGATTAAATAGTTAAATAAAATTATTGATTCATTCAAATTTTCTAAGATATATATTGCTTCAAAATAAACAAAATAAACAAAAGTAAAAAATTTGATTCTGAAAATTTGCAGTAATTTAAAAATATTTTAAAAATCTTTATATTAATTAATATAAAAAAAATAGAATGATAAACAAATGCTTACTGTTCAGCTATTGTTGCTAATTTTTCATCATTAACAGCTCTTCGTACTTCAGCACGATGTCGCTCATTAGAAATATGTAAAACTTTAGCAAGTTCTTGTAGCAACTTTTGTTTTTCACTAGTAAATGGACCTTGAGCACGTAAGACAGACACCATATTTCCATAAGCTTCTAATTCTATATCATAAAAATATTGATTTTAATTAACAAATAAAATATATAATATTAATATATAATTATTTAAAATTATATAATAGTTTAAAATTTAATAAAAAACATGTTGTTATATATATATTATTAATAATCTATAAAAAAATTTTAATATAATAGTATATTTTCAATTAATTTAATAACTTTTAATTAAAATAAATCAATTTAAATTTAACAAATATATATTTTTTTTTTTAATTTTTACCTATATAATACTGATCATAATAAAAATTTACACATTATGTATCATTTCAGACATACATACATTTAATAATTACTAATACATTTAATAACATCATTAATAATTATGAGAGAATCTATCTAATCTATCTAAAAAGATTTATTAAGCTGTATGGTTTTTATTTTAAATTACATACGTTTAAATATATGTAAATTTATTTATTTTCTTAACATAACATAATTTAATGCAAAATTAGTTTTTGTATTACAATGAATTGTTTTGAATAACAACTTGCATAAAATAATTATAAATATATTGTTAAAAATAAAAACACAATGGAAAATCCTACTTATATTCAATAAAAAATACATACATTTTTCATACAACACTAATAAATTTTAATACATTCACAAATAATGATAATCAAATACAGTACTTTCAGTTTCTATTTATATGTTTAAATTATATAAAATATAATTATTATAATATTTAATATTTATTTAAAAATTAAAATATATTTTTAAATATATAATAATATTGTTATTATAAAATGTTAAATATTAATGAAGCAAGAAAACAATTATTCCAGACATAACCTTACCTAAACATCGTAAACATTTTCTACATTCATCACGAGTCATGTTTTCGTATCTCATCGGCCACATGATTGCATGATTTAATCGTTATAATACACGCCATAAAATGTGATAACTATTTGTACACTTTTCCCACATTTTCGATGTTTCGTTGACAGTATGGTAAGTTGTAGATGAAGTTGCCGTATAATTATTCTTATTGTAACTGGTTTTTGTTGTGGTGTTGGTAATACGATAGTAGTAGTATTGGCAATGCGTTGGCTAACTTGAACTACAAGTATATTAACTTAAAATGGCAGAATCAAAAAAAAAAAAAAAAAAGAAAAATATTATAAATACTAATAAATTGAATTTTTTAAAATTATATTCAAATTATTTTATTATAAATTATTATTATAATAGGGAATTGATAAAAAAAAATAAATTTTTTTTTTAAATAAAAATATCTATAAGTTAAATATATTTCAAAAAAAAGGAAAAGTGATTTGATATTATATGCTTATCATATATTTAAATATCAAAGTAGTATAATTTTTTTTTATTATTTTTTTTAACTTTTATGCAAATTTTTAAAAAATTTTTTAATTATAAGAATTCGTAAAATATAATTTTAGTGCCGAAATTTATGAATCAGTTTTTTAAAATCATAGGAATTCAATATATAATATTTAAAGATTGCAGGAATTTATAATAAAGATTCCATTAAGTATAATAAAAAAATAAAAAACAAGAGAGAGAATACAAAAGATAAATTTTTTATTTTGTCAATTTCAAAAATTCTATTTTAATCCAAATTTTAAAAAATTTAAAATATATTTATATTCCATAAGTAGCATATATGTCTAAAATTATGGACAAATTGAAAATTTATTCAGATAATACAAATACATTGGTTAATTGATATCTGTAGCTTTATTATACTAATAAATTTGAAAAATTTTATTAAATGGCATATTATAATAGATATATTTTTAAAAAATTACATTTTTCAAGCATCAATTTTTCGAGCATCAATAACATCTTTTTCAATTTAATAGTTTTACATAAAATTGTCGAATTATTTTTTTCTTATATATTATTTATAAACCAAAATAATCATTATTCAAAAAAACAATTTTATTAATTTTTTAAAAAAATCTATCATTAGAACTTATAAACTAACTTTAATATTAATAAAATCAAAATGTTTTTGGAATTTGTATAGAAGGATTTCCAAATTAATTGATAAAGTAAAATTTTAAATTCGTATTATTATTATAAAATATATATGTATATATATAAATAGATTTTATGAATAAGACGAAGATCTGAAGTCGTAGATATTTAATCATAGATTCAATAAAAACACATTATTATTATATATTTAATTATTTGAATAGAAATTTACAGATTTAAAAATGATTTTTATTAAACTAATTGTAATTAATGCAATATTATTAAATATTATTAAAATATATATATATATATATAGAAAATATTTTTTTTTAATGTATCTATTCCTAAAATAATTAAAATTATTTGATTAATATATTTAATTTTATAATAAAATTAATTTTATTAAGCTTTAAAAAAATTCCTGAAAATATAAATAAGATATAATTTAAATTATTTAAATATAAAAACAATATATTTTAATTTTATATTTTAATTTATATCAGTATTGAAATTATGTGTGGATAAATAAATAAAGAAATAAAATATATTATTTTTATTTGAATTATAACAATTATTTTATGATATTTAAAATATTTTTTATTTACAATTTGTTCAATATATTTATAAAAACAGAAAAAATAGAATTTAATATTTATAATAATATTTAACATTATAGTACAAATCTTATATTTCTAAACATATCAACAAAAATAAATATATCAATTGAAAATATATATTTAAAATTTTTCTTAAAAAGAAAAATAAATCTAAAAGATTAGAAAGCATATCTTTTTTTCTTATCAATAGTTAATAAATATTATAAAAAAAATTAAAAAATGATATTAGAATAGTCATTTCCAGAAGATATGTTTTTTGATATAGGATTTGTAGATTATTATTAGACATAATAATTTATATTGTTTATAGAAACAAAAAACAATTCATTTTTAAAATAGATAAACAAATCTAGTCTTTGTTATTTGTTTTTTTTTTTGCAAGATATATTATTTGTAGTTTTAATGATTTTTTTCTAAAAATATATTTGTTCTGTCATATACAAAAATAATTAAGTATAAAAATAATATATAATAAGGACTAGATAATTCACATATAATAAGTAATATAAAAATAATTTTAAAATTTTAGACAAATTAGTCATCTAAAAATAATTAAAAATGTTTAAAGATTTTAATTGTTATTTATCTATGTATATATAATTGATCAAACCATATTCATATTTAGAAAAATTATATTTTCTAATAAAAATATTTTTAAAAAATTATTTTTACTTCTTCTAACTTCACTTCAATGTATATAGCTTCACTTCAATGTATATGACAAATTATGATATTTTGAAAGCAATAATATTTTAAAATAATACAAATTTGATTATAAGTATATTTTATTTTTATGGCGATGACAACCACAAGAATACAATCCTGAGGAAATAACATTTTAACTGAATTGCATATTGACACTATTTATAATACATGATGATAATAATTATTTATAACATATGTTGAATTTTTCAAATTAAAGAGGATAAAAATGTATTACAATGCATAAAAAATTCATTAGATTTTGTAAATCTAAAAAGTACAAATCAAATCTCTTCGTCAAATATATGAAATAGAATTATCTTTTTTTTTTTTTTCAATTTTTCAACTGAAGAATGTAATACAAAATTAAATAGATACATACAGCACATTAAAGTTATTTGTTTAGAATTGAATTTTTTATTATTATATTAGTTAACACTTAGATTTTATAGTCTAGAGCTTACAGCATTGCTTATTTGTTCCTTATCCGGATCACTTATTTTTGCATTTGGCATTATATTTTGACCTAATCTGCATGGTACATGCTTTTTTATGCATAAACCAATGAAGTCTTTGACATTCCCTGTCACAATATTGCACTGCTTTACATTTGCTACATTTTTTGTTAGCTTTATCTTCTCCACAAGTAATGCAAAGTGTAGTATTATCTAAAAAAGCTCTTTGACCATCAATTGCAGCTGATACTACTGATACTGCAGATGGTGGATCACTAGCTGCAAGAGTTGCAACCATTTGACGAAAAATTGTACTTTCTCTGTATGGAAATTCTCTTACACTTTCTCTCAGAAAAGCTTCCTGATATTCTGGTATACCATCACTTTTACTACATTTTAAAAATTTTCTTATTAAACCTTCAATAGTATCTGATTTTTTTTCTTCTCCTTCTTCATTTGTTTTGTCAATTTTTTCTGCTTTCATTGCTTCTTGTCTCTTCTGAAATTTAATCACTTCAGCCACAACACAATTTAGATAATGATATTTAAATGCCATCACTTCATTTGTTTCTGCACCTTTTGTCATTTCTTTGTGATGCATAGATTCTAAAACTTTTTGTACCTAAAAATTGTAAAAAAAAAAAGAATAATAAAATTATAACTGTTTATTTACATTATAGAAAAAAAAACTATAATTGAATTATAATTATCTATTTATCTAAAAAATATGTATTAACTTTACCTTAGTAGCATTTTCTAAGAGACCAGGATATCTTTGTAAATTCATAGCTACACGTACAGGATGTACATTTATTTGTATTATAAATTTATGAAAAGAATCTGCTAAATGTGGTGGAAGCATTGATTCAGTTTGTAAACCTTGTGGTTTAACATAATAATCAATATCAGCTTTTGGAATAAAATTATTGATAGTTGCTACACAATTATGATTTCCCACAAATGCTGCCATTTGTGCTGGAGTTCGTCCTACACTGTTTGTTGCTGTTAAACGTGCTCCATAAGACATTAAAAGATGACAAAGTTCAGCATTTCCACTAAGAGCTGCAAAATGCAAAGCTGTATATGTATGTTCATGTTGACATGCATTTACACCTGCTCCCTATAATAAAATATTTTAATTATTCATATTATATAATTCATATTATGATTGTATATTTTATATTATTGGTAATATTTAATATTTACTTATTAAATTTTTTTTTTAAATTTTTTAAATAATAAATTTCATATATTTTAGATAATAACTCTCAATATTCTTAGAATTTAATTTTTTTCAAATATACTATATAATAATTTTTTGAATAATCAATTATAAATTTCAATCTTTAATAATTTTATAATATGCATTATTTATTTTTTTTTAAACTTTCAAAAAATATTTTTTTGATAAAAATTATTTTATTTTCAAAATTCATTAATATACATATATAAGTTAATTATATTTAAAAACAAGTATTCATTTGTTTAGAATGTAAAATGAAAAAAGATACTATATTTTAAAATACTATATTTTTAAAATTTTTACTATATTTTTAAAAAAAAATATTTGATAAATTGTAATTGAAGAATCTTTTATTTATTATATAGATAAAAAAAGAAAATCAAAAATTTATATGTGAAATATATTTTCACTCGTTTTTTTTATATAAGTAATATGCATTGTTTATTTATTTTTTTTTTTTACAAAAGTGATTTTGGATATTTAAATTATAAAATATTTTTAAATTATATTTTATTGTTTAATACAATCTTAAAAAGTTAACCTACTTGGTCCAACAGCATCTGTACTATTTCCTTGTTTCCTTTGTAACAAGCATGTTGTAGTGGACTCATACCATTTTCATCCACAAAATCAATTTTGATTTTATTTGCTGTTAACAATACTTTGAGTTCAGATACTTCATTATTGCTGATTTTTGTAAAAATTTGCTTTTGTATAGCAATTAAACTCTCTGGTGAAGACGCCATTTTTCTTACTATCGATTAGCATAACGAAAATATAAGTATAAATGAGATATATAATCTATTATCTTATGGGAATTAATTATATAGGAAATCTTTTTTAAATAATTTATTGTAAAATGTTAAACAATCGAAATAAAGACAAGAAGAATATAATATTTCCTTTATCTTTATAAGTCTATAAATTTACACGAATGACAGTTCGTTCATTAATTTTATATATTAAATTTTCATTACATATATAAATTTGCGAGAATACTTAATCGA